GGGACCCTGGCAGTGAGATGGGCCCTCTCCACCCGCCCTGCTGCCCTGGCTGGGCCCTGAGGCAGGCAGGCCCTCAGCGCCCTGCCCTCCCTGTTCCTCCCGGGCTCACTGGGCAGTGGGTGTAGAGCTGGCCTTTGACGTGTCTGCGCTTCCCTGGTGGCTCAGGCGGTAAACAATCTGCCTGAAACGCAGGAGACCTGCGTTCGACCCCTGGGTGCGGAAGATCCCCTGGAGAAAGGCATGGTAACCCACTCCAGTATTCTTGCCTGGAGAACTCCATGGATAGAGGAGCCTGGCGGGCTACCGTCCACAGGTCACAAAGAGTCAGTCACGACTGAGGGACCGACACTTTGACACGTCTGGCCAGTGGCTCCTGCTGGCTCCGTGGCTGGCTCAGGCACTGGTGTGGGCTGGGGGGAGGACGTGGAGGAACAGGAGCTCCCAGACCCTCGGGTGCCCTCTTGCTGTCCAAGGTGCCTTACTGACCCCGGGCTGAAGGGTGGAGCTGAGGGCACCAGGCTGCCCCCAGAGGCCTGTCCTCCCCCGCCCCCACTGGCTCCCCTCAGGCCCACGTCACCCTGGCCTGGCAGGGGCAGCGTCCTGGTTGTGGCTGTGGACCACGTCCACCGCACGGGTCTGTGTACTGGGGGCCGGGCATCCCAGGCTGCATCCCAGGCTGCATCCCAGTCACTGGGCCGCACACCTGTCCTCTGTGAGGTGAGTCTGTACCCTCGGAGTTCCTATTTTAAGCAGGTTGGCCCTCTTAAACAGTGAGCCTCTGGGGGCTTCCCTGGTGGTCCAGTGGCTAAGAATCTGCCTCGCAAAGCGAGGGAAATGAAAGTGTTAGTTGCTCAGTCGCGTCCAATTCTTTGCGACCCCGTGGACTGCAGACTGCCAGGTTCCGCTATCCGTGGAGTCCTCAAGGCAAGATGCTGGAGAGGGCAGCCACTCCCTTTTCTAAGGGTTCTTCCCAACCCAGGGATTGAACATGCGTCTCCTGCACTGCAGGTGGATTCTTTACCATCTGGGCCTCCAGGGAAGCCCCAGATGTTCACTTTCGAAAAGGGCCGACCCGCTTAGAGTCAGAACTCTGAGGGCACAGGTGCACACCGACCCAGGCCCTGGTCCAGGAAGACCCCGCAGGCCTCGAGCAGCAGAGCCCACACGCCGCAGCCACTGAAGCCTGCACCCCAAGATGCTACGGCCCCAGCGGGGGAAGCCCGCGGACCGCAGCTTGAGAGCAGGCCCTGCGCACGGCGGCGGAGACCCAGCGCAACAACAGCATGCTTGTTTAAAGTGAGCATCTGTCAACGTCAAGGAGGTACACCCCCGGGGGACCCCAGACAGGCGGTAGGAGCCCCTCTCAGGACACATGGTCAGGACGAAGGTCCAGAGAGCAGTGACCCTAGGACAGACGGAGCCAGGAGGGGGGTGCTTGCTGGGCACCTGCAGTCAGCTGGGCCAGGGACCTCCCTGGGCACTGAGCCGGGCCCCCGCCCCAGCCACTCCAGAGGCCTCCTCACACATCTCGGACAACACGGGCCCCTGGGAGCCCTGCAGGAGCATGTGAGGTCCACATGAGGCCGGTACGCTGACAGACTGCTGGCCGGCTGGCACCTGGAGCACCCTCTTCAGTGTGAGGGTGTGGGCACCGCTGTCATGCCAGCCACGGGGCCCTCCTAAAGAAGGGGGTCACCAGGAGTGGGGTCCCGGGCCGGGGGGGTCCAGGTCCCCAGGTCCCCCAAGAGCCAAGTGCTGGGACCCGGGTTGGGCTCCGGTGGACCTGGGGTGTTCCTGGAAGGGGAGGAGTGCGTCGGGAGGGCGGCCCTGTGGGCTGTGGGGAGGCCTGGGGCGATCTGCGGGGCCCACCCGAGTGTTGCCCCGGGGTGCTGTGCTGGGCTTGCCGGTGGCCCTGCACCCTGGCTGGCATCCCGAGTCTGGGGGCATGCTGGGCCCCCATAGCCACCCCCCCACCCCGCCCTGGAGGCCTGTGACAGGCCCCTCCTGCGGCCTCGGGAGCCAGTGGCCCCAGGTCCCTGCCTGCACAGGGTGGGGCCCCTCCTCCCGCAGCCTTTGTGCCTGCATGACCCCAGGGGCACCGAGTGTGGGAACGGGGCTGGGGGCCCGCGGAGCACAAAGGCCGGGGAGGGGCGGGGTCAGGGCCGCCGCCTCTTCCTGTCTGTCCCCAAGTCTGCTGCTGCCCCTCAGGACACAGGGAGGGTCTCCACGCCTGGGGACGGGCTGGGCACCGGCGACCAGCTGGCCCCTGCGTCCGGACTCCGGGCCCCCGCCACTGCGGGCCTCCCAGGTGTGGTGCAGGCGCTGGGGGCCGCTGGCCCAGGGTGCCTGGCATGCTCAGGCCCTGAGAGCCCTCGCTCCACCAGCTCTCCACCAGACATCAGCCCAGGCATCATCCTCCTCCCTCCCTGGGCCTCTGCCCAGCACCTGGCTCTGGGGGGCGTGAACCCGCCCCTTAGGCCCCGCCCCCGGCTGCAGGCTCCTCCCCCAGCACAGCTCCCAAGGGGACCCCCTGCTGAGAGCCCCCCCCCGCCCCAGATGGGGTGACTGTCTTCCTGGAGGCCACGTCCAGGGGCCGAAGTCACTGACCCCCAGGAGACCCCTCACTGGGGCTTAGCCCGCTCCCCACCACGGAAGAGGAGCCTCAGGGACAGTAAAATAGACGTTACGCCCGACTGTGCCTGGGTTTCTGCACTGGGACTTTTTTAAGCTTAAATTTCTTTGATAAGATCCTTTCCCAGGGTGGACGGCACTGGGAATGTCCTCCTGGCGGACGTTCCCGATGGACGGTCCCAGGCCCCAGTCACCAGCTCCGGGGGTCACGACCCTGCCCTGCTGGAGGGATCCAGTGCTCCTCACCCTCTGGGCCCTGGGGTGGGTGGGCTGCCTCCCTACTGTCAGGGGCCACCTCTGCGTGGCGGGGCCCACCAGCCCCCCAGCCTCCCTTGCTCCCGCCGCAAACCCCGACGTGGAGCCCCAAGAGTGGCCGGCGGGCTCTGGGAACGCTTCGTGTGTCCAGTGGGTTTTCCCTCTGGGAACAGCACCAAAATAGCAGAAGGAAGGAAAAGAAAATGGAAACTCAGCCTGGCGGCGGGAGCTCTCCAGGGAGGCGGCCAGCTCTGGCCTGGGCAGGGGCGGTGGTGGCTCTGAGCCAGCGTCCAGGGAGCTCGGGCCCTGGGGGCACAGGATGGGACCCTGTTGGCCGAGAACGGCTCGGAGGTGCTCCCTCGGTCAGTCCTATGCTTGCGGCGCTCTGCTGTCCAGTGGCCAGTGCCCTCTGATGTCCACACGGGCTCAGGGGCCACGCGGGCCTGGGCCGTGGCCTCAGGCAGGGCAGGGTCTGCAGTCACATGGAGCCACTAGTCACCATGCCTTGGGCCATCCACTCGGGGCATCTGCACAGCCCCTTCCTGGGCTTCCCTATCCACGTGTGGGAGGCCCTGAGACCAGCCGGCTCACGCACCGGACAGGAAGTGGGGTGGCCCATGCGCTGGACCAGGAAGGTAAGCCATTCCCAGCCACCGTGCTGGGCTGAGCTCCTGGGTGAGGCTGGGAGCATCGTGGCTGGGGGACTCCAGGCAGGGGAGGCGGGGTGTGTGGCCTGAGGCGCCCCACCCTGGGGCAGGGACTGCCCGTCAGCAGGGAGCGTCCTCCACTCACAGGGACCAGGGCCACAGCTGAGGACCACGGTGGGAGCGGCCGCCCAACACCTGCGTGCTGAGAGGCTGCGCGTGGGTTCAAGCACCCTAAGCTCTTAGGGACCCCTCTCTGCCTGTGGCTGTGCCTGCCTCCTGGGGTCCCGGCGCACAGCTGCAGGCGCCCCAGCACAGTGGTCTGCCACCTGGGGGGGCCTGCCCTGGGGTGCACCCAGCCCACCTTCTTCAGCAGCTGAGTCCTGCTGGAGGCCGCTGGACAGCCCTGGGCCTGAGGCTCTGCAGGGGACCCCTCCCGACAAAGACCCACGGGGTGCCAAAACCCCGCCTCCCTCCTGGGCTGCGGCCACAAACTGCACATGGTCTCTGCCTGGCAGCCCCGTGTCCGCTGCTGTGGCTGCCTTCCGCTTCCGGTCCTGGGGCCAGGGACCTCACCTCTCATCACCCGCTGACCACGTGTGGGATGCACATCTACCACACAGGGACGCCGCTGGCAGGAAGCCCCTTTCCTGCCACCCCCATGCCCACTCGGAGAGCTCGGGGCACCTGGCCCACCCCCTAGACCAGCCGCCTGAGAGCCCAGACCCAGGACCTGCCCTGTCGACGACCTGGGTCTCAGCCTGAAACCTGGGATCCTGGCCCCACCGTGAGGCGTGTCCTGGACCCCCTGCGCCCCACTTTCGCGCCCCACTTTCGCCCCCTGGCTGCCACCACCGCTCACCTGGGCAGATACACCACGGACTGCAGGTCTCCCGCCTCCCCACGGCAGCCAGGTCAGAGCCAGCGCCTCCCTGGGCCCCGCTGCCCCCAGGACTGTCTCCTGTCCCGGGGACACTTGCTGCTCCCCCCCACCAGGGTGCAGCTCTGACCCCAGCCTTTGAATTGGCCCCACGCCACCCCTGGGGGTGTCCTGCAGCCTGGCCCCTCCATGGGGTCCCCGCTGGGGCAGGGGAACGGTGCTGGGATGCAGCCCGGATTCTTCCTGCAAAGGGTAGTGGCCACCCTCATGGGTCTGAAGGCTCCACGGTTCCCCGGGGTGCCAGTGGGGTGTCCTCCCAGCTCCCCAACTCCGTTTTCTCAAGATGACGCACCAGCAAAGGTCCTGAAAAGCTGGTAAAAGTGCCCACAGGCTCCCCCGACGCCCTGGGGTCTTCACCACATGTGCACCTTCCCTCCTCCTGAGGAAGGGTTGGCAGGAAACGCACAGATCGGGCTACTGCTCCGTGGAGCAGAAAACCTAGGCCCAGCCACATGGCGGGGCCTCGCCAGTCACAGAGCCTGGGCCGCACACACTGGCCCCTCGCCCAGCCTGGGGCACGCGGCACCCACCTGGCAGCGGCTGAAGATGTCCGCGGGGGTGACACGCACGTTGAAATGCCTGATGACGGCCTTTGCCTGCTGCTGGGCCTTGAGGGAGCAGTCCACTGCCAGGCAGCGCCCAGCCCCAACCTGGGCCCGGAGCTGCGGACAGAAGCAGCTTTCATGTGGGGCCGGAAGCCAAGCCCCACCCCCCTAGCTTAGGTGAGCCGGGAGCCTCCAGTCTGCCCGCGGGGGAGGCTGTGGGTCCTCACCTTGTGGTATGGCAGCCCTGAGGTCAGGATGACCCTCCCCTCCTGCCTGGCAACCTGCGCAGGAAGAGAAATCAGCAGGTGAGGCTGCAGGCCCACTCCCAGGGCAAGCCAACCCCTTCCCCTCCCCCCCCAGCCCACTCCCCCATCACTGCCTCCCCCGCATCTGAAAGTAAAGGAAAGTGAAAGTGTTAGTGGCTCAATTACGATCCACTGTCTGGGACCCCATGGACTGCAGCCCACTGGGCTCCTCTGTCCCTGGAGTTCTGGTCCAGGCAAGAATACTGGAGTGGTTAGCCATTTCCTTCTCCAGGGGATCTTCCCGACCTGGGGATAGGATCCAGGTCTCCTGCGTTGCCAGCAGGTTCTTTACCATCTGAGCCACCAGGTTCCTGCAGCTTGAGGCTGGGCATTGCAGGCTGCAATAGATTTGGCCTTAGAATCATGCAAACATTTCACAGAATCGCTAACTAAATTTAAAAAGCCATCTCTATAAACCCAAAGAAGATGAAACAAATGAACTACAAATAGGGAAATATTCCAAATGACATGAAGCCACAGTGAACTGACCACGTGACTCTCGGGCTACAGACCAAAATGAAGAACACCCTGCAGTAACGCGACTGCTGGTGACGGCAACGCGATTATTCTGAATCGTTCGGGAGGGCAAGGTCAACGCGGTTATTCTGAAACGCTCAGAGACGGCAATGTCAAGGCGGTTATTCTGAAATGTTTGTGTGTGAATTCTGACATAAGACAGATGTGTAATGCTGGTGTGGTGTTAGGATTTTTCAGCTCAGAAAGAGAAAGATTTGGGAGAAAATTAAGGAGGTCACACAATAAACCCTAGATCTGAATGGAAAACTTCGGATGGGTGTCATATATATTTGATGGATGTTGTGTTAGTTGCTCAGTCATGTCTGACTCTTTACAACGCCATGGACTGTAGCCCGCCAGGCTCCTCTGTCCATGGGATTCTCCAGGCAAGAATACTGGACTGGGTTGCCATTTCCTTCTCCAGGGGATCTTCTTGACTCCCTTGATGGGTGTTATATATATTTAGAGGTACTTAATCACTCTGCCCACCGCAAAGGCCTAGAAATGAGAACCAACCCTGCAGCTGTGAGCACCCTCATGCAGGCTGATTTCTACACAGGGTTCGTGCTAAAAGGAACCAGGGAGTTTTGGAGGAGCAGCTGACTCTAGATCTGAGAAGCTGGAGCGCCTCTTTAGATGAGACAGCAGAGAAGTTATCAAAGCCTACAAGGACCCCATCGAGAGGGGTCAGGACCCACTGGGCCCACCCTGTGTGCCACAGGGGCTTGGAGTGAGTCAGTGCGGCGGCAGCTGTGAGGTGTCCAGTTTGGTTCCTTCTCGTGTGTTATCTTTGGAGACTGCGAGGGGCCAGCTCACTAGCGTGAGAGCTGAACACTGCAACTCTGGGAAGGAAACACCAGGGATAGTCATGACGTTGTATTTGGCAACAATTTCTTGGCTGTGGCACCGAAAGCAAAGACAACACAATTAAAAATAAATTGGACTTTGTGAGAGTTAAAAAAGTTTTGTACATCACAGGACACTGCCAAGAAAGTGGAAAAACAACCCAGAGAATGGGGAAAAATATTTGCAAGTCACATATCTGATCAGGGAGCAACATGCAGATTATATAGAGAGCTCCCGCAGCTCAGTGCAGGAAAAGCAGGTAGATCAGTTAGTGCGTGGGCAAGGAACCTTGACCTTCTTCTTCTCTGGAGAAAATACATTTCTCCAGAGAAGTCACACAAATGACCAACATGCACATGTAAGGATGCTCAACATGAGTCATCAGGGGAACGTGATACACTCGGCATCACTTCACATCCGTTAGGACGGCTTTGCTTTTTAAAAAGGAAAATAAATGCTGATGAGAATGTACAGAAATCTGGAACACTTATGCATTGTTGATGGGAATGTAAAGTGGTGTGGCTGACATGCACAACAGTGCTACAGTTTCTCAAAAGATTAAACACAGAATTACTGTATGATCTAGCAATTCCACTGCCAGGTCAGATCCAAAAGAACTGAAAGCAGAAACGTGAACAGATACTTGTACATCATGGTATATAGTAGGAGCACTATTCACAACAGCCAAATGGAACAACCCAAGTGTCCATCAGCAGATGACAAAAACAAATACACACACACACATACATACACACATATATGTATAATGGAACTTATTCAGATTTTAAAAGGAAGGAAAATCTGATACAGCTATAGCATGGATGGACTTCGAAGACATTACGCTCAGTGAAATAAGCCAGACACAAAAGGATAAATTTTATATGATTCCACTAATGTGAAGTCCCTGCTACCGCTGCTGCTAAGTCGCTTCAGTCGTGCCCGACTCTGTGTGACCCCACAGACGGCAGCCCACCAGGCTCCGCCGTCCCTGGGATTCTCCAGGCAAGAACACTGGAGTGGGTTGCCATTTCCTTCTCCAGTGCAGGAAAGTGAAAAGTGAAAGTGAAGTCGCTCAGTCGTGTCCGACTCTTCGCGACCCCACGGACTGCAGCCCACCAGGCTCCTCCGTCCACGGGATTTTCCAGACGAGAGTACTGGAGTGGGGTGCCAGTGCCTTCTCCTGTGAGGTCCCTAGAGGGGTTAAATTCATAGAGACAGGAAGTAAAGCAGTAGTGACCAGTAAGTGGAGAATGACTATTTAATGCAAATAGAGGTTTTGTGTGAGACGATGGAAAGTTGTGGAAATAGTGGCAGTGGTTACGCACGCTGTGAACACACAACATCGCTGAGCTGTACACTTAAATATGGTTACGATGATCAATTTCCCATTATGTATATTTTACCACAATAAAAGAAAAAAAGCAATAAAGCAAGTGGTTACTTTGTAGTGGAAACAAATACACATCTATGTGACGAATAAGAACAGAATTAAAAATAAACACACATAATTGAGGTAAATATGAAGAAAGATCCAGACAACAGAGCAGTCAAGAATAAAGCCAGGAGTGACAGGACAGAGGCAGCTGTCCCACAGCAATGACAAGAGCAGAGGACCCTTCTCAGAGTCCTGTCAGGCCAGTCACAAACCCAGCAACATGCTCTTTCAGGAGAGAGAGGAGACAGAATTTTCAAGGAAAAATGGCCCCAGTGAAAGGTCATAGCAAAGAAATCCTTTTAGTAAAAAAGGCTGCCTTTTCTCAGAGTGCCTATGCATGTCCATACATCATAAACTCTAAGAGTCACTGAATATATAAAAGAAATGTGATGTCTACTTTGCAAAACTAAGGAAAACCACAATGTGTTAAAAATACTGGAAATAACAGTAAGACGGAAAGCAGGTGAGAAAGCTAACACGATCTGAAGTCTTTGGATTAATTCTAACTTCAGACATTGTTAACTCAAACATGCAGGCTAACCCCTAAAAGAAGAGAAATAAGAGTTATGACTTTCAAATTAATAGAGGGAAAAATAGAAACAAGGGTGAAAAAGAGAAAAGAATATAAGAAACAAAGGAGAAAAAAGAACAGATAAAGTAGGAGAGAGAACAAATTAGTATATTACAACTGAACACAAATTATATGAGTAATTACAATAAATGTAAATGGATGAAACTAACAGGTTGAAAAACAAGACTGTCAGACAGATTTTTTAAAAAACAGCTAGAAACAATTTATAACAAGAGCAAAGGAAGGTTGAAATCAAAACGATGAGAAAATGATTCACAAATACTAGCCAAAAAATGCTGGAGTAATGGTATTAATAATAGCTCAAATAGACCTCATGGCAAAGAGTGTTAGTAGAGACAGAGGTTCATCTCATAATTATAAAGTATTTCACTTAACAGGAAGATATGAGAATTCTAAAAGTTGTGTGCATATGCAACTAATAACAACTTTAAAACAGGTAAAGCAAATACTGACATAACCACAAGGAGAACTTGAAAAACCCAGTGTCCACAGGAGACTTCGCGCAGCTCTCTTGGTTATCGATAGAAGTGTGCAGAAAAATAACAAAACAAGATAAGATGATTTGAGGAAATATTGAGTAAGCTCGACCTACTGAGTGTGCGAAAGCAAGAGAGGGGAGTGAACGCGACTGGAAGAGGCTGTGGCCTTTTAAAGTCCACGTGGAACACTTACAAAAAGCATCGTCTGCTTGGCTACAAAGCTAGTCCTCACAAATGTCTAAATCAGCAGTACATAGACTACAGTTCACTTAGGTTAAAGCTCCCAAACCCCAAGCTTTCTGAAACTGAAAAACAGCCTTTCAAATAAATAATCTGAACTCAAATTCAAAATTCAAAAATTATTAGAACTAAAAAGTAATGAAAATACTACATATCAAAATGGACGGAACGCAGTGAAAATATTACTTCAAGAAAATTTACTGTCCTGTATGTTTACATCATAAGATTTAAGAGGCTGAAAATTAAAGAGTTAAGCACTCCTCTTAGCTCTTGGGGAAATAACCCCAAGTACGCAAAAGGAAGGAAACTATAAAGATAAAAAGAGAAATTAATGAGATTAAAAAACACAAAAATGCAACAGAAAGGATCAGCAAAGCCAAACACCAGTTATTTGCAGGGACTCATTCAAGTGACAACCCTCTGTAAGGTCAGGAAAAAGGTGAAGCACAGCTGAACAACAGCCAGAGTGAGCCTGGTCACCGCAAGGCCCCGCGGAGCCTCACGGGCAGTGGGCCCTGCACTGCAAAAGGAGCGCATTCCAGAGAAAGGCACGGCGAGTGACTCAGATGACGCAGTCGCCTAAGTAGTCCTAAAAGTGTTAAACGAAAAGAATCAGAAATTCCTAAATTCCTCCCCCAAAAACACGAGGCTAAGGCAGCCTTGAAGGAACTCAGCCAGTGTTTGAGAGGAAAATCCAAATATTACTCAAAGTGGCAGAAAGCAGGAGGGTAAACTCCCCAGCTTGTTTATGAAACAGAAGAGACGATGGTGAACAGGAGAAGTCCTGTGTCAGAATGGTCCTGAAGACAGGTCCAGCCCTGTGACACGCTGGCCAGGCTGGGTGCAACTGGAATGCAAGGCTGGCTCCAAACTGAAAAGGCTCATCACAGGCACAGACCACAGGGACGATCCCAACGGCTGCAGAGGCAGCATTAGAACCCAGCTTCTTTCGTGACAAGATGTGCAGCGGACATGGAGCCGGAATCCTGGCGTGGGGGCCTGGCAACAACCACACGCCACGGAGAAACAGCCCCTGTTAAGTCAGAACCGAGACAGCCGGCCACAGTTCCATCTGTTCAACCCCACCATGGCGGCCTCGACTGCTGTGAGAGGATGTGGGACAGAAACGAGACCCATAAAGACTGGAGAGGAAGGAATGAAACTGTCCCTGTCTACAGACGGTTTGTCCGCAAAGGAGACCCAAGAATCGACAGCCAACTCAGTAGAATTGAGGAGACTTCTGCGAGGTTTCCAGAGGTAAGATCAATTCTCAGGCAACTAAGTACTAAAGGTCCATGCAGTTCTGTGTATCAGCAGAAAATAAAGCAGCATCACGAGTTGCAGACCAACTGTGCCAGCCCAGTGGGCCTTCCGAGGCCAGGGTCAGACCTGCAGCTTTCCGCCCGGGGCCCTTTGCAGGGGCACAGGCTGCAAGCAAGCACAAGAGAGGATGCTTGGCTTCACCGATACTTGGAGAAAGGTGAGCAAAAGTGCTGCGAGACGTGCCTGCCTGCTGCCAAGACTGGTGAAAAGGACAGTGAAGCGGCGGCTGTGGCGGGTGCCATCTAGCTGCTCACGGGATGGAGCCCTGGGCACGGTTCCCAGCCCACCGGCCAGCCCCGCGGGCTCTCCTGCAGGACCTCCACGGGGAAGCCCACAGCCACATTCTGAGGAGCAAGGCCACAGCAGGTTAGGGACACTGGTGACCCCTTTACCCGTGGAGACAGGTCCTCGGTGCCCTAAGTCTACCAGGTTAGTGGCCCAGGCACACAACACCGCAGCCGTTCAGATGAGTCTGTCCTGGTGCCTGTGTCCGCCAGGTCCCTGGGGCAGCAGAGCCAGAGGCATGCTGAGGTTTGCTGCAAGGAGCTGACTGCAGACAGTAGGGGAAGGTGGGGTCATCAGGACCCTGAGTGGGGCGGCGGCTGCCCAGGTGGACCTGCTCCCACTCTGGCTCTGGCCGGGCGGGCAGCTGCTCAGTGTGACCGCGAGCTGCTCAGCTCCTGCCACGCCGGGGGAAGCCATCAATCACTGAACTTTGGCCTCTTCCTGCATCTCCACGGGCTGCGAACCTCCCCAGCCGTCACGCCTGGTTCCTCTTTGCCGGACGGATGGCTCTCTGCTCGGTGGACTCTACGGCCTCACTCACACTTGACCCCAAGCAGCAGGAGGACTGGGAGGTGCCTTAGCACAGCCTGGCCGATCCTTGGCCGGTACCCCAGCTCATCCTTGAAAGGTCTGCTCCCTGCAAGTGCGGACACAGCCCCCGAGCTTCTGCTGCAGGGGCGGGAGCCTCCTCCCTTCTCTCGCCAGTGGTCCTGTCTTTCTTTAAAGGCATGTTGATAAGTGTTAACAGAGCTCATCATAGACAATAAAACCCACAGGGTAACCCTGATGTACAGTGCAGCCAGGTCACCTCCTTGGGAGTCTGTTCAGGAAACACACGGCTGGGAAAGAGCCACAGAAGAGAAGATGACAACGGGACATGGTGGGTCCCCTGGCTAGAGTCTCTCCAGAAAAGGCCAGAGGGCTCCACCCACGCCAGAGAGCATCACAGGTGTGAGAGAGGCGGGCACATGGCCCTGCTGAGCAGAACGGGTCGTGAGTGACACACACAGGTGACAGTATTACCACCCCCACCACAGCAGGGCAGGCATGAGGACAGACCCTGGGAGCCCCAAGCACAAGGCAAGAGGACAAGTGGGCAGAGTCAATCCATAACCACAGGGGCTGGAGCTGCAGCGTGTTCCCAGGAAGAAGCACCTTGCCTGTGACGGCCCCCGGGGGGGCACTGGGCCTGGGGCCTCAAGACTGCGATGCTCCAGGTTCTGAGGTCCAACCCCCTGGCTCTAGTCCCGGCCCTGCTGGGCCTCAGCGCCTGCTCCGTCTGGGCCATCCTGACCCCATCAGGTCCCAGACTCCCTCTGCCCCTCCTGCGGCCCTGCTTCTTCTGAGGCGCCTGTTACAGCAGCACCGACTCCTGGCTCCCGGGTCCACTGGTTTGCCTCTGTGGCTGCAGTCACTGAAGCGTGAACTCAAACCGAGTTCTGCGGGGGTGCGAGTGGCCAGGCTCTGGGGGGGCCCTGTGCTCCTCAGCCCCCGTGACTGCAGACACCTTGTCTGGGGTCCTCAGGAAGCCAGGCTAGTCTTTTCGTCTCAGCCTCTGTAAGCTAGAAACATGCCCAGGGGGAGGACCAAGGGATTTCCGACAGGGACGGCGGCCAGAGCCACTCTTGACACGATCACGCCTCCTTCCCTGGAGCCGGGACCAGGCCTCCGGAAGAGCTGGCTGTGAGGGGCCAGGGCCGAGGAAGGTGGACATCCTCTCCTGGATATGGGGGCTGGCTCGGCAGGCAGACGGCTCCCTCATGGCTCAGCCCTACCTCTGCAGCCCTGGGCAGAGAGCCCCTCTGTCCTTCCGGCCCCAGCTTCCTCGTTAGCAGGTGTGGGAAGGCTGCTGAAACATCCAGCGGGCTGTGCAGTGTCCGGGGAAGGGCCGCCTGCCAAGCTCAGACCCCACTCCCCCCCTACCCCGCCTTGTGCCCCAGCCACCCGCTTGCCGAGCCTGGGGACCCAGAAGGTGTCCAAACGCATAAAAGAAACCACACATAATTACATAATTATGACCTGGCCACCTCTGTGCTCTTTCGTGGCTGCACAAGTCACAACAGCCTGGGTGCCCATCAGCAGCCAGTGGATGGATCCGCTGTGGCCCATCTGATGGAATGTTATTTGGTTGTAAAAAGGAGTGAAACGCTGACAGATGCCACAGCGCAGATGAGCCTGGGAAACATCACGCTGGTAAAAGAAGCCAGGACCGAGAGGCCACCTGAGCAGGTCCACGGGCATGCAGCATCCAGAGCAGCCAGAAATCAGGCTGCCAGGGCCAGGGGCGGGGCTTTGCCTGGGTGGGGCGGGGCCGGGAGGGGCGGCTTCACGGGGGATGAGCACAGTCTAGAATCTACCGTGGGGACAGCTGTGCGAAGCACGCCGTGAATCGTGGGGAGCCGTGAATCGTGGGGAGTGGGAGCCGCCTCTTAGTGAAGCTGTAAAGAATGTTTACCAGTCACGTCCTCGCTCCTGAATTCTGAGACCCCTGCTTGTGTTCAGCAGGGCCCCGGGGCTTGTGTTTCCCCCCCGCCCCACCCCCTGGGGGTGAGCACCGGCTTCTCAGAGAGAAAGGGCCCAAGGGCACGTGGCGGCGTCTCTAGGGGCCGAGAGCACCCAGGGTCTGCCCGCACCAGGCCCACCACACAAAGGAGCCTGCAGACCACAGGTGCAGGGCAGCAACAAACGTCTCCACCCCAGCAACCCGGGGAGCCTTGCCCCAGCTCGGGGTGGGGGATCACGCAGCTGGGGCACTGCTGCTGCCCCGACACTCCCCCAGCCCCGTGGCTGCGCAGGGGCGCGGGGGCCCAGGCCCGCTCACCTCGGCGGCCTGCCGGTGGTCCTCGCCTGAGTGCAGCACCCGCACGTCGACGCCCAGACAGCGGAGTGTCCGCGCCAGCCCCCCCAGCATATTGTCACACACCACGCGGAAGGCCCGGGCTGGGACCTCGGGGGCTGCGTCCTCAGGTGAGCGCACCTGCAACACAGCCTGGCTCAGCAGCCGCGGCCCACCCCGGACGGGCAGGGGGCAGGGGGCAGGGGGGGAGGGAGGGCTCCCAGGGCGCTCAGTTCCTGTAAGCCATGTGTACTCAGTACAGAAAAGAGCAGGGAAGCAGGGAACACAACTGAGACCACCCAGGACCCCAGGGGCTGGCACGTGGCTCCTGGGGGTGGGGTGAACACTGGAGTCTCCAGGGTCTCGGGGGCACACGGGGACACCCCGAGGCTGCCCTGGGTGTTGGCGGGGGCCATGCCAGGCTGGGGACTCCTCCTCTTGTAGGATGCTCACCCCCTGCCTGCTTTCCTTCCTTCGGGGCAGAGGGTCTCCCCGACCCCCACTCCAGGTCTCCAACTCTGTGAGGCCCCAGTCTTAAGGAGAGTGGTTCTTCCCATGAGAACCCTGATAAGGGCCTGGGGGGGCTTCACCTACTTGCCGGGGGGAGGCCGAGGCCTTCTGCGGGGGCGGCTCCTGAGTCCCGCATCTCTCGCTGCGTCCCAGCCCCAGGCTCCAGGGCAGGGCCCCCGGCAGGTGGAAGCGGGCAGGCTCTCTGCACAGCTCCCAGTACACCTCCAGCAGGCAGTAGGCATCCGCAGCTAGGGTAGGCAAGGTCAGCCTCGGGCTCCAGTGTGGAGGGTGTGGGGGCGTGGGACAGGAGGGGGGCACCCACCTGCATAGACCAGCTGCTCCTCGCCCAGCGGCCGCCGGTCCCAGTTGGAGAGCTGCTGCATCTTGTCCAGGGGCTTGCCCAGCACCTGCTGCACCAGGAGGCTAAGGCCTCGCGGCCCTGCGGCCCTGTCCACAGCTGGGGCTGGCCTGTCCGCCACCCGCATCTGCAAGACAGCACCCCCGGGGGTGAGGCGCCTGCCCTGGAGGGCGGACAGCATCGCACATAGCCGACTGCCCCACGGGGGTCCCTGGAGCAGGCCCTGTGCCCTCCATGACGGAAAGCGTCCCAAGAGAGGGTGCCGGCGGCCCAGGAAGGCTGTCTCAGGGTCTCAGGGCTGGGGTCACCCGCTCACTGGTCAGCTCTGGGGCCCACAATCTTAACCCCCAGGGGAGTGCTGAGAATCCTGGGGGCAGGCGCAGAGCCAGGCTGGCCCTGGGGAGTGTGGGGATGTGTGGCGATACTCTCTCCTGGGGGACCCTGTGTCTGGGTCCCTGGTGACCTGTGGCCAGGGATTGGGGCTGGGGCCAGGAGGGGGACAAGTCCTCAGTGAGACAGTTGCCCGGGCGTTGCCGTGTGGGCAGCTCCGCGGAGCAGGGAGCCCCCAGCCCACCCCCAGCACTGACCTGTCTGTGTGCCGGCAGCAGGTCCAGGCCACCCTGCAGCTTCTGCACGGCCTGCGCCAGGGCTGGGTAGGATGCACCCAGGCTCCGCAGGTCCCCCGCCATCCCATAACCTGCAGTTGGGGGGCGCCGCTGTGATGGGGCCAAGGGAGAGGCCGGTCGCACACCCTTCCCCAGGTCCCGCAGGGCTGGGGCAAGGGCGGGTGCTACTTACCCAGCTTGGTGATGGAGGGGTCTGAGAGCAGCCGGGACACCAGATGGGAGAAGGCCCGGGGCGCCTGCCCTCCTGTGGGACTCAAGAGCCGGGGCAGGTCCAGCAGGAACACACGGCCCGCCACGGCCACCTGCATGAGTGACACCCGGGGCCGGCCGCCCACACCGAAAGACGGTCTCCACTCCAGGTCCACACCGACCACCTGACCCGGCTGCAGACAGAGGAGCTGGTTGGAGCGGCGAGGCGAGCGCTGCGGTCCAGGGGAGGCGGCCTCTGTGGGGAAGGCTGGCCCAGCCCTGGGCGTGCCAGTGTGGCCAGAGCCCCCAGAGGCCGTGGTGAGCAGCGCCGGGTGCCAGCCGTCCGGGGAAGTCGGGCACACACCTGCAGGAGCACGTCCTCATGCCTGGCCAGGTCCTCCCAGGAGGCCAGGAAGTAGATGTCCTCCCTGGTGATGGGCAGCTGGTAGCAGTCGTCTCGCCTGTGCTCTGACGGTGCCTTGGCCGTCCTGGGGAGGAGCAGAGCTGCAGAGCCTCTGCTGCCCCCCGGACATCCCCAGCTGACTGCAGGGCTGGAGTGCCCTCAAGGCTGGCATGTGCCCAGGGCCTTCGGGGCCTGCTTCCCACACCTCTGTCCTTGCACACTGGGTCCTCTCCGGGGGGCATGTGGCCCGGCTGAGGCACTGGCTGCTGGTCCTTGCCAGAACCCGAGGAGGGCCAGGACGTGCCCGTGTGACTGCACGCCGCTCACGTGCCTGGCGCCCCTCCTGGCCCTCCCTGTTTCTAACCCCCAGCCCCCAGTCACTTTCCGACGGAGGGTGCCCAAGGGCATGTCCTCCTTCTGGTCCCCCTCCCCCGGAGCCTGGCAGATGCTCACCTCTCCTGGAGCCTGAGTTGGCTCATTTCTTCCACTACTGTGGCTGGGAGTCGCTCCTCAGGCAACAAGAGGTCCAGGGCACACTGGGCGACCGTGGCCACGTCATCCTGAGAGGCCAGCAACTGTAGCAGCTGCTCCTGCAGCCACTCATCCTGCCCCACCAGGCCCTGGGGGATGGGATGTGGGCTGCTCCACAGGGTCGGCCCCAAGGGGGTGGGCCCATCCTGTCAGCCCCCAGACCAAGACCACCCCTCAGTTTGGCCCCAGCCTCCCCTCATGCCTGGCCCCAAACTCCCCCTCACACCTGGCCCCCACTTCCTCCCCTCACATCTGGCCCCCACCTCCCTTCTCAGGTCCTGAAGCCCTTCACAAGGAGGAGGCTGTCCTCTGGACACCAGCAGTCCCCATGACAGGCTCCACGGTGACCGAGCTGGCGTGCACCAGTGCCGCCTCCCAGGGTGTCCTCTCCCGGGCCCTCCTCTCCGCCTGCATCTCCCTGAGGCACTGCCGTGCTGGGGGAGGGGGAGTCCGGGGGCTCTGCAGGGCTTCCACCTGCCCTCGGGGAGGCAGGGGCCATGGGGGCTCACGAGGCCACATCTCCTGTCTGTCTGTCCATCTGTATGAAGGCCCACATGGCCTATAGAGGTCCTGGTGGGGGTGGGGGCTCCGTCCCACAGACCGCCTGCGTCCTTGGGGCCACATGCCGCAGTGGACCCCACCCCTGAGGAGTCCCTGCCGGCTGGCAGGTGGGGCCGCTTCCCCACGCGGCTCTGTCCCCGGCAGCCTCGGTGGCCGCTTCCCGCAGGCTGCAGGTTCCCACGTGGACGACAATATGTGGAAACCCCTCCACATTCTTCAGGATGTCCGCTGCCCTTCCGCCGGCTCGGCCTTGGCACCCAGGGGGGACCGGCCTTCCGGGCCTTGCCTGGGGGTCCGCGTTCCTCTCTGATGACTCACCAGCCCTGGCCGGTCACTCGGGTTGGGGGGAGGGCAGGTGCAGGGTGGCTCAGCACTGCCCCCCACTGGCAGACCCCGCGTGGGCGCTCAGTGGGGAGGGCCCTGGTTCCCCACCACTGCAGACTGCCCTGCACACGGCCCCCTGGTCCCCGGAGAGCCCACCTTCCTCCCAGGCCACTTTGCCTGGAGCTGGGGATGGTTCTGCACCGTGATGACCCCCGCCTCCAGCTCAGGACTGGGGACAAAGGCTGCAGGCCAGTGTCCTAAGGGGATGACAGACCCCAGCCTGGGACTGGACCTTCAGTCTGGCCCTCTGTGTCCCCGTATCACCCCAAGGGGCAGCTGACTCCTTCTTGGGGTCTGTGGGCACCCCAGGCCTCAGATCACAGAGCCACGGCAAGCAGGGCGCCTGAGGACAGTCTAGAATTTTCTCTTGGTGAACCTCTCCGCACCCAGCACCTGGGAGCTCTGTCCATGGGGAGGGGAAGGAGGATCCTGGACCCTCGGCCGTTCTGACTGTGTCCCACCCTGCCCCACGGGGGGTCATCATGTGCCGGGGCCTCCGAGCTCACCTGCACCAGCTCAGCCCAGCTCTCCTGGGACATGCTTCTCTGCAAAAGTGGACACCAGTGTGAGCTTTCCTTTTAGCAACTCCGGGAGCAGAGAGCAGGCCTCGCTCGGAGCTCCCTCTGAGCACCCCGCCCCGGTCCACGCACCTCCACCAGCCGCTTGTAGCACAGGCACCGCAGGGCAGCCAGGCGCTGCTGAGTGAGCGCGCTGGGACACAGGGCTGGAAGAGAGGGTGTGCTCCAGCCGGGCTGGCTGGACAAGCGCGTGTGGGCCGGGCCTGGGGGCTCCCGCTGCCTTCCTGCCCTCCCACCCGGCACACTCCTCGCGAGCGGCCTTCCCTCTGGCTGCAAAGGAGGGCGCCCCGCCCTGGGCCAGGCACCGGAGCCCCCGGCCTGCCCTCCCTTGGGGTCTCCTGGATCGCCGCCTCTCGGGGCTTTCCTGTATTTTTTCCAGGCCACTTTTGTTTCTCCCCATGCCCCAACACGAGTTTCTAGAAAAAGGGGCCCATCTTGCTCTGTGTTTACAAGTTATGCTGACCTGTCAGCTACACCTTCACATTCTGTTCAGAGTCCAAGGAGGCCCAGGAAGGGTTCCCACTGTCCACTCACCCCTGTCCTCCTGCCAGCTGCTGCTCCTCCCTCCCGGGGCTAGCTGTCCTCGAAGCCTGGTGGTCTGGGGGGGGGGGGGCGGTGCTGACCACAGAGCCTGCCTACCTGCAGGCCTCCACCAGACCCTGACCAGGACCCCCTGTTCTAGAGGGGTGTGGCTGCCCCAGCCACAGGGGCCGCCCCAGCCACAGGGGCATGCCCTCGGGGAGCACCCTCACTGCTGTCCGAGAGTGCAGAGGTCAGGGTTGCCTGGGGCCAGGGCCTGTCCACCACCCTGCAGCCTTCCCTCCCCTTTCCAGCCGAGGCAGGAACGCAGGACATCGAGGGACCATGTGCCCTATAGGCTGCTAGGGACAAGACTGCAGGAGGAAGGGATGGATGAATGAAGTGCTCAGCAGGAGGGGATGGTCAGGAAGGGGGAAAAAGGCAGCCAGAACTGTTACAGAATTAAGTCTCCTTCCAGTGGAGACAGAAACCAGCTTTCCCAAAGTTTCTACAATGTTACACATCATTTTGCCAATAAGATACTTTGTCAAAAGCCTATGGATACAGTATCACCCTCAGGCCTCCTTTGCACTGCCTGGTTCATCTAAGCCCACACACCCCTCTGGGAAGCAGATCTTTTAAAGGAAAAGGTGGCAAATGAGCCAGACTCAGCCACCCACCTCGGGAGGGTCCTGCTGACTCTGCCAGATGCCTGGGGGCTCCATTGGGATCCAGGCCCAGGTAGAGGGCTGGGTGCGCTCAGGGCAGGGGGGCGAGTGCAGTCCTCACCCTGCATCACGTCTGACTGCTCTCCCACAGAGAGCACAGGGTCTGCCCACTCAGAGGCCCAGGCCAGGAGGGCAGCCGCACAGCAAAAACAGCATGGACTCAACATATGTGCAGAGTCCTGGGAAGAGACCAGAGCAAGGAAGGGGGAATAGGCGATCTCCAAAAGAAATAATGACCGAAAACTCCCAGGACGGATTGAAGACACCGATCCATAGATCCCCAAGTCCCATAAATCCCAAGCAAAAACAATAAAGAGAAACCTCTAATAAGTCTCCTCACAGCGAAACCGCAGAACACCAAAGACAAAGGGAAGAGACTAAAAGTGGCCGGAAGACGAGAGGCTGCTTCCAAAGGTGAGAAGCTAGATTTCTTCTCAACAATACATTTCAACCCAATCCGAGGGCTGACATCACAGCAAGTATGGCCTCTAATCACTGTGAGATGGAGAGAAAACCAAAAATGTCACAGCTTGGAAATTACAAACACGCTGCTAGTTCCTCTATAGGTGAAAGAAAAAAATTATAATGGAAATTAAAAACGTCTTGAGCTGAACAATAATAAAAGTAATATATTTTTGAAACTTGGGGTATATATTCAAGATGAAAGGACTAAGATTCAGTTAGTGGGTTGAGCCGGGCATACAACTGACAAGATCAAAAACATGAAAATCAGGGCAACAAAATCAGTAGCAACAAAATGAAAGGAAATATCTGGAGTGGGAGAAAATATTTGCAAACTATGTAAAGATAAGAGGTTAATAGTCAAACTATGTAAAGAACTCATAGAACTTAGTAGCAAAAAAAAAAAACCCCAAATAATCTGAATTTAAAAAACAGGCAGAGGAACTAAAGAGACATTTTCCCAAGATACAGAGATGGCCAACAGGCTAAGAAAATATGTTCAACATCCCTAATCTCCAGGGGAGCACAAGTCAAAACACAAAGAGGCACCACCTCACACCTGTCAGAACTGCCACATCAAAACCAACAAATAACAAATGCTGGCAAGGATGTGGGGAAAGGGAAGCCCTTGTGCTTTTCTTTTTTGGCTGCTCAGCCTACAGGATAATAGTTCTTCTACCAGGGATCAAACCTGTGCCTTCTGTGGTGGAAGTGCAGAGCCTTAACCACTGCACCGCCAGGGAAGCGCCCTTGTGCGCTGTTGATGGGAATGCAAATCATTGCAGCTACTATGGAAAACACTGTGGAGGTTCCTCAAAAAAAATTAAACATGGAACTACCATACGATCCAGCTATTCCACTTCTGGGTGTTTATTCAAAGGCTGTGGAGTCACAACCTCAAAGAGATATCCGCGCCCCTAGCAGCTTCACCCACAACAGCAGAGGCCTGGAAGCCACCTGAGCGTCTGTCCACAGACGGGTGAGCAAAGAAGCCGCGTTATAAACACACGGTGGAGTAGTGCTCGGCCGTAAGGGAGAAAGGGTATTAGGGACACTTTATGGCAGTACATTTGGAACCATAAGTGAAACAAAGTCCTTGAAAAGATCCACAGCTGAGTCAAGAGTCCTGTTTCCATAAGGAAAGGCAATCTAGATTCACAGGTCATTTCCACAAAACTTCTCAGGAAGAAAGAATTCCAACTTTTACAAACACCCTCTGTGAAAAGAAAGGACATCCACTGTTTTCAGAGGCCAGTGTCACCTTGTACACGAAGTTGGAAACAGACATCTCAGGAAGATGAAGTCTGAGTCCAGCTTCAGCTATGAACACAGACGCAAAGTCCTTTAAGTTAAAGCAAGGTTGGCAAGCCAGAGCTGGTAGTGTAGATGGCAATGCAACTTGGTGGAGACTCAGCCATGGCAGACACATAAGGATCACTTAGCGTTATGCAATCAGTCAATGCAACCCATCACATTAACAGACCAAAAGGGGAAACGCACGGCATCCTCCCAAGAGGTGCAAAAAGAGGATCTGACACAATTCCACCTCCGTTTCTGATGAACACTCACAGACCGGAAGTGAGAAGAACTTCCATGATTTCATGAAGTGAGGCTAAAGACACTGTCAGGAAGACTGCTTCCCTGAGACGCAGGACGAGGGCGCTGTGCTTGCCGCGGGGAGGGGCGGAAGTGTCGTGTAGGCTCGGTGGTCCTCACCCATGGGGCCCAGACTCCCCGGGGGCACCCCCAGAAGGGCAGAGAGGCTGCTAAGGGTAGCAAGGAGACCAGAATGGACACCGACCAGACCGAACACTGGCAGGCGGTGGGCCCTGGACCCCCAGCAGCGCCTGCCCAGCTCCCGCCCCTGAGCAGCACGTGGGGGGCTCACTCACCGGGGTCCAGGCTGAACTGCTCCAGCAGCCGCAGCACCTGCCGACCCAGGGCTCTGGGGCTCAGCCTCTCCAGCCGCAGGGGCGCCTGCGGGTACTGCCTGTGGGAGAGATGCAGCTCTGGTCAGCACTGCTTTCCCTTGGCTGATGCATTTCAAGGTCTTAATTTTCATCAGCATCATACATGTGCACAGTTCAGAAGCCAAGTTTTCCTCAAGGCTCAGAGGAAGGCAGCCCATCACAGCCCCCCGCTCAACAATTCTGGGATGGCTTAGGTCTGTCCCGTGCTTCCAGGAACTGTCCGGCACAGTGGCCTCTGGAGGATTCAGCTCTAGGTGTTCTCCACGGAGGCCTCAGCATGGAAGGCTCCCCTCCCCAGACAATGGCATCCTTGGTCCAGTTCATTGGGCACCAGCTGCTTTCAAAGAATTATAGCCATGCAAGTATGACTGGTGGTGGGTTAATCCTTGCTGGTCTGATTGCTGCCTTAGCCACCTGTCATGAGGACGGAGTCACTCCCCTCCCCACCGCAAAGGGGACAGCCCCTCCCTGTCCAGGGCGCCCTGCACCTCTCCTGCCTCCAGACTGCAGCCAAGTGACTCTGCGGGCAGCTCCCTGGGGCCAGGAATCGACCTGGGTATGGTGCCCTTCAACTCACACTGCACTGGAGGGCTGGTCGGCAGAAGCAACTCTCCCTTTGCACTGGCCATTTGCTGCTCCAGGAACCCGGAGCCCGACTCCTGCTCTTTCTGAGGGTTCAAGTCCTGGTCCTTGGTGTGGGTCTCTCTCCATCCACTCAGGACTGTGTCTGGAGTGAATTCCTGGTCCTTGGTGTGGGTCTCTCTCCATCCACTCAGGACTGTGTCTGGAGTGAATTCCTCCACATTTCCCTCTTTCTTTCTGGAATCCCCATTATTTGGATGCTGGGTGTTCTTGACAAAATCTGTTGGCTTTTTTTTAAAACCTTTCCTCTCTGATTTTCCTTCTTTGGAAAGGCTAGGAAGAATCTTCAGGTTTATCTTCCGAACCTTTTACTGAGAGTTCCAGTCCCATCCTGCCATCACGTTTCTATGGAAGTCTGTTCTGAGTCCCAAAGGCACTCTTTGCACAGTTGTGGGGTTTATTCTGGACACGGAATCTCTCTGAAGATCTCAGTTACAGCTTTCGTACTCATCAAATGCTCTTCTACTTCCTCTGGGCTCCAGGCAGACTGGCCAGAGGTCCCCGAGCCCTGACTGGGTCCCTCTGCACAGGCAGCTTTTTGGGGTAGTAACTGACAAACTGATTCCAAAATCCATATACAAATGCAGAGGGTCCAGGATAAGACAAGAACAATTTTGACAGAGAAGAAAAGTATGGGAGGCTCACCTGTCTGACTCAGGGCTGCTACAAGACCACGGTGGTCAAACAGGTGGTACAGACGGAACAGTGGAACAGGCCAGAGACCCACACATGTGTGCACACCCGACGGAGGCACACGTGTGCACACCTGAGACCCCAGCCCCAGCCCCAAGCCCTAATCCTCTAATTGTGTCTGCATTTTGGCCCCTTTTCCAGAATGTCATGCAGCAGGAATCTCCTTTCACTTTGTAATCTTTATCTAAGTTTCCCAAGTATCCTTTCATGACTTAACGGCACGTGTCCTTCTAGCTCTGAATAGTATTCAGCTGTGTTGATTGACCACAGTTTACTTATCCCTCCAGCTACTGGGGGTTTCTTAGGTGGTGCTAGTGGTAAAGAACCTGCCTGCCAATGCAGGAGACGTAAGAGATGCGGGTTTGATCCCTGGGTTGGATAGATCCCCCGGAGGAGGGCATGGCAACCCACTCCAGTATTCTTGCCTGGAGAATCCCATGGACAGGGGAATCTGGTGGGCTACAGTCTGTAGGGTTGCAAAGAGTCAGACATGACTGAAGTGACTTAGCATGCCCACATGTCAGCTACTGGAGAACATCTTGGTTCCTTCCAAGCTTTGACAACTATGAATAGTGTTTCTATGAGCACTCAAGTACAGGTTTTTGTGTGGACAGGGGTTTTCAGTGCCTTTGGGTAGATACCAAGGAACATGATGGGTTGTCATAACATGAGAATGTGCTTAGTTTTGTAAGAAACCACCAAACTGTCCTGCAAAGTGGCTGCACCATTTTGCATTCCCACCTGCAGTGATGATGGTTTCTGTTGCTCCACATCCTCACCAACACTTGGTGATGTCAGCTTCTGTCCATGCTAGCAGGGGTGCGTGGTGTGAGCTTCTGTCCACGCTAGCAGGGGTGCGTGGTGTGAGCTTCTGTCCACGCTAGCAGGGGTGCGTGGTGTGAGCTTCTGTCCACGCTAGCAGGGGTGCGTGGTGTGAGCTTCTGTCCACGCTAGCAGGGGTGCGTGGTGTGAGCTTCTGTCCACGCTAGCAGGGGTGCGTGGTGTGAGCTTCTGTCCACGCTAGCAGGGGTGCGTGGTGTGAGCTTCTGTCCACGCTAGCAGGGGTGCGTGGTGTGAGCTTCTGTCCACGCTAGCAGGGGTGCGTGGTGTGAACTTCTGTCCATGCTAGCAGGGGTGGAAGGTGTCAGCTTCTGTCCCTTCTAACGGGTGCGTGGTGTCAGCTTCTGTCCCTTCTAACAGGTGCGTGGTGTGAGCTTCTGTCCATGCTAGCAGGGGTGCATGGTGTGAGCTTTTGTCCATGCTAGCGGGGGTGCGTGGTGTCAGCTTCTGTCCATGCTAGCAGGGGTGCGTGGTGTGAGTTTCTGTCCACGCTAGCAGGGGTGCGTGGTGTCAGCTTCTGTCCCTTCTAACAGGGGTGCGTGGTGTCAGCTTCTGTCCAATCTAGTAAGGGTGCGTGGTGTGAGCTTCTGTCCATGCTAGCAGGGGTGCATGGTGTGAGCTTCTGTCCATGCTAGCAGGGGTGCGTGGTGTCAGCTTCTGTGCATGCTAGCAGGGGTGCGTGGTGTGAGCTTCTGTCCCTTCTAGCAGGGGTGCGTGGTGTCAGCTTCTGTCCATGCTAGTAGGGGTGCATGGTGTCAGCTTCTGTCCCTTCTAATGGGTGCGTGGTGTGAGCTTCTGTCCATGCTAGCAGGGGTGCGTGGTGTGAGCTTCTGTCCATGCTAGCAGGGGTGCGTGGTGTCAGCTTCTGTCCCTTCTAGCAGGGGTGCGTGGTGTGAGCTTCTGTCCATGCTAGCAGGGGTGCGTGGTGTCAGCTTCTGTCCATTCCAGTAGGAGTGCGTGGTGTCAGCTTCTGTCCCTTCTAGCAGGGGTGCGTGGTGTCAGCTTCTGTCCATGCTAGCAGGGGTGCGTGGTGTCAGCTTCTGTCCCTTCTAGTAAGGGTGCGTGGTGTGAGCTTCTGTCCATGCTAGCAGGGGTGTGTGGTGTGAGCTTCTGTCCATGCTAGCAGGGGTGCATGGTGTCAGCTTCTGTCCATCCCAGTAGGGGTGCGTGGTGTCAGCTTCTGTCCCTTCTAGCAGGGGTGCGTGGTGTCAGCTTCTATCCACCAAGCAGGGGTGCGTGGTGTGAGCTTCTGTCCATGCTAGCAGGGGTGCATGGTGTCAGCTTCTGTCCATCCCAGTAGGGGTGCGTGGTGTCAGCTTCTGTCCCTTCTAGCAGGGGTGCGTGGTGTCAGCTTCTGTCCATGCTAGCAGGGGTGCATGGTATCAGCTTCTGTCCCTTCTAACGGGTGCGTGGTGTCAGCTTCTGTCCATGCTAGCAGGGGTGCGTGGTGTCAGCTTCTGTCCATGCTAGCAGGGGTGCGTGGTGTCAGCTTCTGTCCATTCCAGTAGGGGTGCGTGGTGTCAGCTTCTGTCCCTTCTAGCAGGGGTGCGTGGTGTCAGCTTCTGTCCATGCTAGCAGGGGTGCATGGTGTCAGCTTCTGTCCATGCTAGCAGGGGTGCGTGGTGTCAGCTTCTGTCCATGCTAGCAGGGGTGCGTGGTGTCAGCTTCTGTCCATTCCAGTAGGGGTGCGTGGTGTCAGCTTCTGTCCCTTCTAACAGGGGTGCATGGTGTCAGCTTCTGTCCAATCTAGTAAGGGTGCGTGGTGTGAGCTTCTGTCCATGCTAGCAGGGGTGCATGGTGTGAGCCTCTGTCCATGCTAGCAGGGGTGCGTGGTGTCAGCTTCTGTCCATGCTAGCAGGGGTGCATGGTGTGAGCTTCTGTCCATGCTAGCAGGGGTGCGTGGTGTCAGGTTCTGTGCATGCTAGCAGGGGTGCGTGGTGTGAGCTTCTGTCCCTTCTAGCAGGGGTGCGTGGTGTCAGCTTCTGTCCATGCTAGTAGGGGTGCATGGTGTCAGCTTCTGTCCCTTCTAACGGGTGCATGGTGTGAGCTTCTATCCATGCTAGCAGGGGTGCGTGGTGTCAGCTTCTGTCCATTCTAGTAAGGGTGCGTGGTGTGAGCTTCTGTCCATGCTAGCAGGGGTGCTGTGGTGTCAGCTTCTATCCCTTCTAACAGGGGTACTGTAGTGTCAGCTTCTGTCCATGTTAATAGGGGTGCGTGGTGTCAGCTTCTGTCCATGTTAATAGGGGTGCGTGCTTATGATTCAATTTGCATATCCCTGATGACATATGATGTACAGCATCTTTTCATGGGCTCATGCATCATCTGTGTATCTTCTCTGGTGAGGCGTCCATTTGGGTCTTTGGTCCACCTTTTAAATCAGGTTGTTTGTTTTCTTACTGCTGAGTTTTAAGAGAACTTTCTGTATTTTTGGATAACAGTCCTTTATCAGATGTGAATTTGCTAATATTATCTCACACTCTGAGTTTGTATATTCATTTTTCTTGATTAACACTTTAACATGTCAATTGATTTGATTGATAATTTTTTTTTTAGTATTTTTGCATCTGTGCTCACGAGATGCACTGGAGTGCAACTTTTCTTTCTCATAATGTCCTTTCCAAGTTTTACTACCAAGGTGTAAACTAGCTGATAAATCATGCTGGGATGTGCTCTTTCTTTTTATAGTTTCTGAAAAAAATTTTTTGTAAGATTGATATGCTCTTTCTTAAATGTTTGAAGGAATTCACTCGTGAAGCCATCTTAGCCTAAAGTTTTTTTGTGGTGAAGTTTTAAACTACAGATTCAATTTATTTAATTGAATGGTGAAGGACAGGGAAGCCTGGCGTGCTGCAGTCCATGGGGTTGCAAAGAGTTGGACATGACTGAGTGACTGAACAACAACAAAGGACTATTCAAATTTTCTATTTCTTGGTTTTGTCAACTATGCTTTGCAAGAATTTGGTCTATTACATCTAAGCTGTCAAATATATTTGCATTGTTGTAAACATTTATTATCATTTACTGTCTCTAGAGTCTGTAGTGATGTTATCCTTTTCTGGGAGATCTGTATCTGTATTTGTATCTTCCTTTCTTAGCATCTCTTTATCATCTGTGCCTAAATCAATTATCTTACTGGGAGTTACAAGATGGCGATTCTGAACTTGATTGTTCCTTTCCATGTATTAGCTGGCACAACAGTGTAAAGGAGAGCTTTCCTCCCCATCTTTTTGCATAAAACATGGTGGGATGTGCTCTTTGTTTTTATAGTCTCTGAAAGAACTTTTGTAAGACTGGTACTGTTTTTCCTTAAATGTCTGAAGGAATTCACCAGTGAAGCCATCTGAGCCTAAAGACTCCTGCGTGTTTACGAATCCAAGGTGTTGTGCTCTGCTACCGTCTTTTACTCTATTACTGATTCCACTCTTAGTCTACTCCCCACAGAGCCTGTGTTTCTTTTAGTGGAGAATGTTCCCTAGAAGCCAAGATCTCGTTGCTGGATGTGCTCCTTCCTACAGGGTGACACTGCTTCTGAACACTTTCAGGGCATAGAATGAGAACATCTTTTTAAAAATCATTAATTTAAGACAATATCTGCAGTTAAATCTAACCCTGAGGATCCTCCCACTTCTTGCCTGTGTCTCCCTTCGTCCCCATCTGCACACACTTATTGCTCCACCTGTTTCCCTCTCGTTTCTGACACATAATGAGAGCAATGGCAGCCATGTGCTGCGTGCCTGGCCTGCTGCTTTGTCCTGCCCATAGGAGCTGAAGTCACAGCGGCCCCTAGAGACAGAATCAGCCCCATTGTATGGATGAGAAAACTCCCAGAAATGGGAGTGACTTGCCCATGGCTCCAGGGGAGGGAGGGCCCCGGGAGACCTGCCACTAGAGCCCAAGGCCTGACTCTCAAGTGAGACGGTCAGGGCTGTGTGGTGCCAGGATGGGGCACCCAGACGTGGGACCAATGCTGCCGCCTGCTGACGGACAGGTGCCCAGGGAGCCTGGGCAGCCTCAGAGCCACTTCCCCTCACCCACCCCCAGGGAGGCAGAAGGAAGCCCTTCTTCTAGATGCCCATGCGCAGGTGACACCCTGGTGTCACACACACACACATGCACACACACAGGCACATGCACGCGCACACATGCATACACGTGCGTGCACACACATACACACATGCACACACACGCACACCCGTGGGCTCCCTGCTGTCATGCTGCCTTTTCTCTGTAACTGTCAGCACTCCATACAGATTAATTAGACGAAGGAAGGAACAGAGGGGTCAGTGCCTGGATGAGAGGTGCGACCTCGGGGCTGTGTAAGGAAGGGGCCCCGGGAGAACTATTTCTGTTTGATTCAGAGCAGTCAGGTCTCTCTGAGCGTGGCTGCTGGAGTCAGGCCCGTGGCTCCAGAAGCAGCCCCCTTGCTGACTGGCTGGGACACAGGGTGGTGAGGGCGGGCGGGGCGGGGTGTGTGGCGGCTCCCCCACAGGCCTGCTGCCCATCGAGCCCCACCCCCACCCTGGGCCCCGTGGAGCTCACCTGGCGACGGCCCTGATGTCAAAGCCGGGCTGGCACCAGGAGTCCATGAGGGTCAGCAGCCTCCGCTGGAGGTGGGGCAGGCTGTCCACGTAGCGCTCTACGAGGTCCACCTTATTCTGCAGGAGCAGGGGCACACACACCTGTGGGGAGACCCCCTCAGGCCGTGGCTCCGGCGCAGCCGAGACCCAGACTCACCCCCAGCCCAGCACAGCGAGTGGCCAGGGTGTCGGTGCCAAAGGGCCCAGAGGCTGGTCTGTGCAACTCGCCTCCCCTGGGGGACTCAGGGGCCCCGCCGCCGTCTGAAGGCCCACCCGCTGCGCCTAGCCATGCCCCACGCCCGGGCCCCTGCACACACACGCACACACATCCATTTGTGTGTGCACACACCGCCCAGTGCATGCACACACACACATCCACGTGTATTCACACACCCGTGCATACACACATATCCATGTGTGTGCACACACACCCAGTGCACACACATGCACACACACATCCATGTGTATTCACACACAGCCCAGTGCACACACACATGCACAAACACACATTCATGTGTATTCACACACAGCCCAGTGCACACACACATGCACACACACACATCCATATGTATTCACACACAGCCCAGTGCACGCACACGCACACACACACATCCATGTGTGCACACACACCCCAGTGCACACACACCCATGTGTATTCACACACAGCCCAGTGCACGCACACACACACATCCACGTGTACACCCCCCAGTGCACACACACATGTACACACACATCCATGTGTGCACACACACACGCACACACACACATCCATGTGTATTCACGCACAGCCCAGTGCATGCACACACACCCATGTGTGTACACTCCCCAATGTGTGTGCATACACATGTGCACACACATACCCACCCATGTGTGCAGACATCCATGTGCACACAGATACCTATGCACAGACATCCATGCTCACACACACATCCATATGTGTGCACACACACCCATGTGCACAGACAGACACCCATGTACACACACAGACACCCATGTACGTACACACACACCCATGCTCACACACACACATGCACACACAGGCCCTGCTGCTCCTTAGGCCATCGCTGGGGGGCTCTGTGGTCACCCTCATCTCCACTGTGAAGGATTAGAGGCTCAAACAGGCCTGGGGGCTCCTGGGGGGGCTCTGTTGTCCCTGAGCCAGTGGGGGGGGCTGTGGGCTGGGGAGGAGGAGCAGGGTGGAGATCAACCACCGGCCGCGGCCCTGGTGGCCCAGAAATGCTGGTTGTGTCAAGATGGCTCCAGCACGTGCCCTGGTGCATGCTTTCAAGACCCCCTAAGCTGCCCAAGCCCCTGGGAAGCCCCAAGGGAGCTCCTGGCCATGGTATTGGGCCTTGGAAGATACTGGCCACTCCCCTTGAAAGAATCAGACCTTAAAAGGTCCCCTCCCAGTGGCTCCCACAGAAGTCTCCTCACCTGCCCTCCCCTCCCCCATGTGGTCACATAGGTCAGACCGTGTGGAGACCAGACGGGACGTGGGCCCATCTGCCAGGCCAGGGCTCTAGGTGCGCGGTCCTCATGGGAGCTCCCACTCCTGAGAACCCTTCAGGCCACCCCAGAGCTTGGTACGCCCCTAGTGACTGGCCGCTTTTTGAGCATGCTGTGCCAGCGTCCGCTGATGGCTCACAGGCACTCACTGGCCCCTCTCTGGCCCTCCTCACATAATCAGGTGATCACGTATGACCCCTGCCCTCCAGCACCTCAGCTCCACCTGTGGGAACAAAGCTCACAGCTCACTGGTGGGGACCCTCCCTAAACCATGCTTCTGGAGGCCTGGACATGATCTGATCTACATGAGAAAGACTCACACCTTCTCCACGTCGAGATCTGCCTGCAGCTGCAGCTTCGTGCCCAGCACGATGGCCTGGAAAACACAAAGGGCCGGGATTACACAGGGCCACGGGACGGGCAGTGCCCCGGGGATGAGGAGCGTACCCAAGGGGCTCCCGCCCTTGCCCACCGCCCTCAGGTGCCTCCAGTCACTGTAGGGGCAGCCACCGGCCTGTTCAGTTCCAGCCACGTGGCCTCAGGCCGAGGGGCCTGGAACCAGGAAGCATCCCAGTCCACAGGCCGCTGTGCCAAGCCAGGCTCCATGTGTTCTGTGGGGTGGCTGGAACGGCCCCTGTGTCCCCCCTCACCCAGCTAGGGTTCAACGTAGATGGGGCCTCGAGGTGCTTGCTGGGCAGGGGGCCTGGGTCGGGGGTTGCCGATGGGAAGGTGGACAGAGGGAGGGGCAGGGCCTCCATCACCCAGCCACGGAGCCTGGCGGGGTGTGGACTGCTGCCCCCACTCCTCCCAGGGGCTCCCCCCGGCTCGGGAATGCGCCCGGCGCAGTTATCCACAGCGCCCCCGAGGGGCCGGTGGGGCTCTGTGCGCTCTGGACGCCTGAGGGACGGCAGCCCCGACCTGCCGGGCTCCTCCGGACCTCCGAGCGCTTTCCACAAGCCACAGCGTGCGCCCCACAGCGACTCAGAGTCTGTCTGATGCAGCGCGCTGACCCCAGGCCCAGGGCGGCAGGCCGGGTGGTCGGTGCATCGGGGGCATGCAGAGAGCTGCCCTGGGATCCATAGAGTAAGCGGCTCTGAAGCCACGGGCTCGCAGGCAGCCCCTCAGATGGGGCAGGGTGCGCGCTGCGCGGTCTGCCCTGTCCTGGGCGCGCGACCGTCCCCGGACTCTGCAAAGAAGACGGGGCGGCCCTGAGCGCCGGCACGTAGCGCAGGCCGCGCTGCTATTAATAATTTCCATACATCGCGCTCCCATTATGAGCAAAAATAACTGGCCAGGCGGCCCGGCCCCGCCCCCCGCAGCTCAGAGAAAGGCCCAAAATAGCGGCCTGGGAAAGGAGCTCCGGCAGAGGCCGGGAGCGCGGGGCGGGGGCGCGGGGCTGGGGGCCTCTCCCCGCGCGGCGCTGACCCGGCGCCCGCGGCCTGGCCGGAGTCCAGGAGCTCAGCCGCGGCCAGGCCGCGGGCGCCCAGGGCCCGGGAGAGGGGTGCAGGGCCCGGGGGCGGGGGAGAGGCAAACACGGGGGAGGTGGTGGCCGGGCGAGGGGCCTGAGGCCTGGGGGCGGGGCCTGAGGCCTGGGGGCGGGGCCTGGGCGGGCCTGGTGGAGGAGCGGGTGCGGGGCTGGGGGCGGGGCCAGGTGTCCCTGCAGCCTCACTGGGTGTTCTGACCGCTTCTGGGTAGGAGACCCTCAGGAAGTTGAGGGGGCTCTGGAAGCCGCCCAGAAAGCTGGAGTGCACACACTAGGCACACCGCGTTCAGACCTCCTTACAGCCCCGCCACCAGCGTCCTGGCTTCCAGGCTCCCGCAGGGCCGGCATCTGGACCCAGGCTCTGTCAGGCCAGGCCGGGTTGGAGAAGGGGCGTGGGTGGGAGGACTGGGGGCCTGGGACCCTCTGCGCTCCAGGCCAGGCCCCAGGCAGTGGCCCCGGAGAGGACGGCAGAGGGAGCAAGGGGAGCCCCTGACTCCTCACCACTCTCCAGGGCAGCTGGCCTCCATCACCCGAGGGTCTGGCTCCTCAGCAGGCCACCCCCATCCAAGAACTCCGAGCCCCAGAACCAGCCTCAGACTGGAGGGGCAGCCTGGGGTGATGGCCCAGGTCTTGGTCCGGTGGGGGCAAGGGCGGGCCAGGCACTGCCCCTCAGAGCAGCGGGAGGACAGTCTGCAGGGTCCGCCCGCCCCAGGCCCTTCTCTGTCGGCCACACCCCCTCCCTCCCTCTTTTCTCTCCTTCCATCCTTCCCCTCTCCCTCCCCCTCCCAGGAGACAGCAAGGCCCAGGGGCCCGCTGTGCTGACCAGGCCTGGGTGGCTCACACACTGGCCTACAGTCAGGGCCCTGGTCCGGGTGTCCACTGGCGGGCAGAGTGTGGGGCCGCGGAGCGGGGCAGGCAGTGCTCAGAGTCTGGCCCCGCCCACCCAGGTGTGTGGTCAGAGCCGCCTGTGAGGGGTGCACACCCCTGGGCACAGGGTGACGCCACCAGAGGGTCTGGGCGCCCTTCTCTCCTGCCTGCTTCCTCCACAGCAGCCAGCCCCTGACCAGGCCCGCCAGAGCTGTCTGTACACCCAGGCTGCCCTCTTTCGGCCAGGCGACCTGCGTGGGCACAAGGGTGTGGCCGGATCACTGGGGCTGGAAGGCCAAGGACTCCCCCGGGGACTGGCTGAGAAGGGTCCTTTCTGCCCCCTAGCCCTGAGGGTCTGTGGCCTGGAGGCTGTGGGTGGCAGCAGAACCATCTCCTCCAGGAAGTCCCACCTTGGTTCTGTTGGGTCAGGCTGCTCATGGCTCACCCGTCATGCAGGCCCTGAGGGTGGGGGAATCACCTGCTGAGCCAGGGGCCTGGGACCGGCCCCCGGCCAGGCTGGGGAGCCACAGTGGGAGGAGGGTAGGGGACGAGACCGGGGCTGGGCCACCTGGCACCTTGCCGGCGTGGCTGACCTCTGCCCAGGAGGCCAAGAGTGGGCTGCTGAGAAGAGGGCTGCCCTGGGCTGGGTCAGGGTGGGGCGGTGGGAACCAGCTCAGGCCCCAGAACTGTGGCTTTGGTGAAAAGTAACTAAGACCATAGGGGCTGGGGCGGTGACAGCAGGAAGGGCAGGCACGCAGGACCCCGACCGGCCAGCAGGGCCCAGGGCAGGTGCCCAGACCCCAGGACCGACCTGCCTCCCACCCCCACTGCTCACCATGGGCCTGCCGCCAAGGGGCCTTTTCTTTTTATTTTCTTTTTTAAGCAAAGCTATCTTTTTACCTTGATAAGCTGTTTAAAAAACGTAAATAAAATAACCCGGCAGACAAAAGCGGGCATTCACGCGGCCGGAGCCGCCACCGCCCTCGACATGAAATATCGCAGCACATGAAGCCGTGAGTCCCCGCTAATCCGAGCGGACAGGCCCGAAGGCGGCCCCTCGGCGGCGCGGCGCGGGCACTGGAGCGTGCACCGCCTGCCGGGCCCGCCTGCCGGGACAATGGCCTTTCTTCGCGCGAGGGGCCTGCACCGGACAAGAGCGCTCTTTGTGTGGCAGTCCTGCCTCGGAGTGCGAGGCAGGCGCATTCAGCCGTCCAGACGCTCTTTGAAAGGCCCGAGTGTAACAGGAGACGCGACACACCAGCCTGCCTCTTCCCCCGCGGCCCGGCCGCCCCGCACCGTCGCGTCGTGACTGCGCGTCCTCCGCCTGCCCGCCCGCCCGGCTCGCGCCTCCGTTCCAAGGAGCCTCCTCTTCAGGGAGGGGGAGCGCGGGGTGGACCTGGGACCTCCTGGGCGCCGGCAGCACCGTCCCCCGGTGTGTGAGCTCGGCTTCGGGCCCCACGAGGCAGCGGCGGAGGCGAGTCCTGGGCGGCCTCTGGACCCCTGGAGGCTGGACTCATCCCCCGGGGAGACGGCCCCTCTGAGCGGGGCGCCCGCACCTCAGGTGCAGCAGCCGCTAGGATCTCAGCCGGGTGCCCGGCCTCCCGCCCCTCGACGCTCATCCCGCCGCCGCCCCGCCCACCAACCCCAAGGGGAGTCATCGCCAGAGCACCCGCCAGGCCCAGGGACACCGAGAGCACGACTCCAGCGCTCCCTCTTCATGTCAGAACCTTCTGGGCTTAAATGAGAATCAGCTCTGCTCACAGAGGAATCAGCAAAACCACCGAGCTTCCAAAAGCCCGCGGAGTCCCACCAGAGGCCAGCACTCCTAAGCCCACACGCCCCCCTGAGCCAGCCCTACCTCCTACAAGGGAGCCAAACACCGCCCCTCCGCCCTCCCCACCCCAGCCACACGCATCACACACACTGGGAGCTCCTGAGCAGCGGACGCAGCTGAGAGCCTGGACCCCACACTGCGTGGCACCCCGCACCCGATCTTCTGAAAAGGACGCATGTTGTGCCAGGCCTGGTCCCTGGTGGGGGCTGGGGGGCTGGGGCTGGCAGGATGGTGACAGCAGGGATCTGGCAGGGCCTGAGGGAGTCTGTCCCTCACAGGGTCCCCACCACTGACCCGACCCAGTCCAGAGTGGCCCAGCAAACAGGCACGGGTGGGCCCCACCCAGAGAGAGTGCAGGCCCCTGGCTCCAAGGCAGACACACTATAGACAGCTGGACACTCAGCCCCAGAGGCAAAGCGGCCAGTCCTCCAGCCTGTCGTGGCCGCGACCTGTGGCTTTAGGGAGGGCCTGTCTTCAAGCAGAGGGGCCTCGGCTCCTGCCCACGGGCTCCATGCCTCCAGGCTGTGCCAACAGGGGCTGGGTGAGCAGGGGTGAATCGGCAGGGGCAAGAGGAGAAAGCAGGCCCAGGGTCTGGCCTGGGCCCCGGGTGGCCTGGGTGGGCAGAGACTGTGGCAAGCTTCTCCCATCCTCACGCCCCCTCCCCACCCACACCGGGAATTAACAAAGGAGTGTGGGCCACAGCCGTGTGGGTTTCTGGGCCAGAGCCTGGCATCCCCACACTGCTGACCAAGCGTGACAGGCTGGTGGGCACCTGGGAAGAAAGGACCCTGGCACGTGCTGTAGACCAGGCTGGATGTGGGGGCTGTGCCTAGACCTTTCAGCGGGTCAGTGTGGGGGCGCCCAGGACCCCCACACCAGGCATGGACCTGGGCTGGTCCTGGGGGGCTGGTCCCCTGCACCCCAGACCTGCGGCCTCTGCACAGCCCCCAGGGTAGAGGGGACACTTCCAGAGTGGGCGTCTCGCCCCCAGCCTGGCTCTTACCCACGCCACTTACCCACGCCACTGACCCACGTGGAGGCCCGGCCCGTGAGAGAGGCCCAGAGCCACAGGGAAGGGCTCACTCACCTCTTTGAACTTGCCCTCCTGGTGCAGCCGGTGAATGTGAGCCAGCACAGCGCTCCGGTCTGCATCCTGCAGCTGGAAGATGCTGACCAGCGGCTCCACTAGGCTGAGGGGGCCCTCAGTGAGGAGCCGGACTGCACGGACCTGCAGCGGCTTCAGTGCTGGGTCGCCCTGGAGACCCCAGACCTGACCTCAGTGGAGGCGGCAGCTGTGGCCAGGGTCTTGAGACCTGATGTGGGCAGGGGTCATGGGGCCTGGGTGGGCCTGGTGTGGGGCGGCCAGCGCCTGCAGCCTCAGGCTGGTGGGTGGACGTTGTGGGTGGGCAGGGGCACAGACAAGGGAGCCGAGGCTACCTGGCACATGGCTGTTAGAGGCCTACCCACCGTCGGTGACCCCTGTGGGCTGCCGGGGCCAGGTCAGGTGGGCGTGGGGCCCCGTGTGGAGGGCTGGACAGGGTGAGAAGGGAACAGGCCACGGGCCGAGGGTGGGGCTTACCTGGGCGGGCCCCGGGCGCAGCTGTGTCTGCAGCCAGCGCTCTAGCTCGCGGGCTACCCAGGCCTCCAGTGAGGGGCCCCGCCCCCTGCAGCCCCGGCTGGCGTCCAGCATGTCCAGGAGAGTGGCGAGCGGGTCATCCAGGGTGGCGAACCCCTTCCAGGCTTCCTCCCGGAGCTGTGGAGACACAAGGCCCCACTGTGGTGAGCCCTCACCGCCAGCCCTCCCACCAGAGTGGAGCTGCCCACCTTCCCTGCCAGCTGCACCGTCCAGGCGGATGGCCCCGCAAAGGCCAGGCTTGATCCCCGGGCCAGAAGCTGGGTGGCACCCTCTGCACCCTGACCACCTGCGTGGCATGCATGGGACATGGCAGTGGGCCTAACAAATGACAGGAAACAGAGAAAAGGAAGGAGAAACCCAAACTGAAACCTGCCTTCTGTTTATCTTCCTAGAGACACGTAAGAGCTGAACGACTGAGACAAACACGTGTGTCTCCGCCACCCACGTCCAGGGGAGCGGCGAGCATCACGGCGTCCTTCACGTGGCCAGCGGGGCCCCTGAGCCCAGCCAGCCCCTCACCTCCAGCCCCACAGAGGGTGTGCAGGCTGCCATGGGCCAGGGCAGGGGCTGGAGGAAGAGACCCCCCCCACCCCACTCAAGGCCACAAAGAAGAAAAGCTTTTCCCAGGAAGCCCCCATCCTGGGACTGGGGTGTCAGGGCGCTGAGTGCAGAGCGTTGCCAGGAGGAAGGCTGCTTCGAGGACCCTGTGAGCCCATGGAGCCCCCCACGGAGACGGGCAGAGCACAGGGCTAGCTCTTCCCTCTGAGGTATCCAGTCTGCCCCTGGACGGACTCACCCGTGCCAACCCACAGAGGCCTGGGCAGGGCACGGGAGGCGGCGCGTCCTCCGGAGGTCAGGCCCTGCTCCCTGGCCGGCCCGAGGCTCTGCCCTCAACAACTGGGGGTCGGCTCGCTCACCCTCTCCCGAGACGCCCTGCAGAGCAGCAGCTTCCAGGGCCCCGTCCTGCTGCTTCCAGACATGGGGCCCTCGACCGAAAGTACTCAGAGGAAAGGGGTCGGGGGGAGAGACACTGCCTCACAACCAGAGCAGAAACGGCCGGGCACCTTCCCCAAGACCACAAGGAGCAGGCAGTCCCCCTCACCTTCCCTGAGACCCCTGAGGAGCGGGCAGCCCCCCACCTTCCCCGAGACCCCTGAGGAGCAGGCAGTCCCCCCGCACCTTCTCCGAGACCCTGGAGGAGCGGGCAGTCCCCCCATACCTTCTCCAAGACCCCCGAGGAGCAGGCAGTCCCACCATACCTTCCCCGAGACCCCCGAGGAGTGGGCAGTCCTCCTGCCTTCTCCGAGACCCCCAAGGAGCGGGCAGCCCCCCCACCTTCCCCGAGACCCCTGAGGAGCGGGCAGTCCCCCTGCACCTTCTCTGAGACCCCAGAGGAGCGGGCAGTCCCACCATACCTTCTCTGAGACCCCCGAGGAGTGGGCAGTCCCCCATACCTTCTCCGAGACCCCCGAGGAGCGGGCAGTCCCCTCATACCTTCTCCGAGACCCCTGAGGAGCAGGCAGTCCCATTGCACCCTCTCCAAGACCCCCGAGAAGTGGGCAATGCCCCCCAACTTCCCCAAGACCCGCGAGGAGTGGTCAATCCTCCTGACTTTCCCCGAGACCCCAGAAGAGCAGGCAGTCCCCCACCACCTTCCCTGAGATGCCTGAGGAATGGGCAGCCCCCCACCTTCTCCGAGACCCTCGAGGAGCAGGCAGTCCCCCCAGACCTTCCCCGAGACCCCGGAGGAGCGGGCAGGCCCCACACCTTCCCCAAGACCCCGGAGGAGTGGGCAGTTCCCTTGCACCTTCCCTGAGACCCCCGAGCAGCAGAGAGTCCCCCTCATTTTCCCTGAGACTCCCAAGGAGCAGGCAAGCCCCCCCACCTTCTCTGAGACCCCCAAGGAGCAGACAGTCCCCCTGCACCTTCCCCGAGACCCCCGAGGAGAGGGCAGTTCCCCCGCACCTTCTCTGAGACCCCCGAGGAGCAGGCAGTCCCCCCCACCTTCCCCGAGACCCCCGAGAAGAAGGCAGTCCCCCCGCACCTTCTCTGAGACCCCTGAGGAGCAGGCAAGCCCCCCCCAACCTTCCCCGAGACCCCCGAGGAGAGGGCAGTCCCCCCGCACCTTCTCTGAGACCCCTGAGGAGCAGGCAAGCCCCCCCCAACCTTCCCCGAGACCCCCAAGGAGGGGGCAGTCCCCCTGCACCTTCTCTGAGACCCCCGAGGAGCAGGCAGTCCTCCCACCCTCCCTGAGACCATCGTGGACATGGCCGTCGCCTGGCCAGGTGCCGAGACAGGAGCTGCGCCCTGGGGTCTGCAGGTCCGGCTCCCACCATGCAATTGTGGAGGGCCCAGGGACTCCTGGACCTGCTCTGGTGTCGCCCAGACAGTGCAGACCTCCCTGCAGTCCCAAGACCTCCCCAGGGCCTTGCTGACAAAGCCTGCGTCTCAGCCCGCCCGCCACAAGATTGAGCAGTGGAGATGCAGTCATCAGTGAGGCCAGGGGCCCTCTACCCTCTGACGCCCTCACCTGGGCCCTGCCGCCCTCTGACCCCCTCACCTGGGCCCTGCCGCCCTCTGACCCCTTCACCAGGGCCCCGCTGCCGTCTGACCCCCTCACCTGGGAAAGCATTCTTTAGGCCCGAGGCCCCCAGCATCACCCCCTTCTTGCCTGTGTGAGCCCTTCCCCCACAAACGCCTCTGCCGTGCTCAGCCTGGGGCTCAGGGGCCACCGCTGGGTGGCAGGTCTCAGCAGGGGCATGGCCGTGGCCCCACCCTGGGCGGGCTCCCCAGGACACTCCTGGAGTGACATCCACTCACGTCCTTGTGACTTTAAACCCGCTGTTCTCTGGCCACTGGGCAGGGCTCGTGAGGACAAAACGCGGACTCTCCCTCGAGCATCAGGTGGACGCTGTCTGTGAAGACCCCAGGCCACCAGGCACAGTGAGCACAGGGGAGACCCCAGGCTGCCTTGGGGCGCCGACACAGGGCCGGGGCCCCCGGGGTGTTTGCGGGTGTGCTCAGGGGGTCAGTCCTGGGGGCGCCTCTGGGCCTGGCCCTTGGCCACCAGAAAGGATGGGCTGCACTGAGATGAGCTCCTGTGAAAACTGCAGGCCTGGCGGGGAACGCCCACGGGAGTGACGACCACCGCGGGGCGATCAAAGCTCCAAGAGTAAACGATGACAAGATACCAGCTTGGGAGCGAAGACAGAAAAGAAACACGTCTGAAATTATGAGAGAAGAGCTATCAGCCCTAAGTGAAGGATAAGACACGCTGGCCCTAAGCAGACGCCGCGGCCGTGGGGGGTTGCCCATACCAGGTCTGGCGTCCCCGGCCACGTGGCCCCTCACCCTGCTCCTGGGCATGCGGGGTGCAGCGTCCACGCTGACGGCCCTTCAGGCCCAGCCCTGAGGCCCCCCGGCTGACCCCTCCCTGCCTCCTTCCCGCCTTCTGGGCCCCTCCCTCTCCTAACCCCCACCCAGCTGGGACCTGGGCACAGCCCCTCCTTCCTACTCACATTCAGGCGTGAAGGCACAGCCTCCCGACTGCAGTGGGCTTGGGCCAGGGCCCCAGAGGGCCTGTTAGCACCGCTGGGCTCCGGCCCCATGGGGCTGCGCTGCGCCCAGGAGTGAGCGTTCCCTGCAGTCTCCAGGGTGCAGGCCTGGGCCCCCCATGGGGAGCACCGCCCCCCCCCACTTCCCCTGGGGGCTCTCAGGCCCCCCACCCGGCCCCCTCCCACCCTCAGGCCTCAGCGCTGTGCGTGCTTGGCCTGTTCCTCCAGTCCCTGCTGACCACCTCTTACAGGCTCGACCACGGACCCCGCTGCCTCCCAGTTCTTTGCTCACAGGGCAAAGCTCCCAGGAGTCCTGCAGCCTTGTCCTGAGGCCCCTGCCCTGGGCTGCGCCGGCCTCCAGGGCCCCCTGCTCATCTGACCCCCAGGGACTCGGCCACCACACCTCCTGCCGCCACCCTGGGGGCCGGGGCAGGGAGGGGGCAGTGGGCACCGTCCGCCCCACCCCTCGAGGCCCCCCAGCGACCCCGCCCCCCACTTGCGGCTGGGCCTCAGGCCTCACGCACGTCTGATGACACTGGGCAGCGTGGGCAAGCTCTGGAGCGTGAACATGCGTTCTGTCCTGGCGGGACGCCAGCCAAAATGGGAACTCAGAGCATTTACACAAACGACCGCAGTACAAGCCTGGCCCGCAGAGAAGCCAGAGCACGGGCCAGGCGCCTTCCCGGCCAGGAAGACGGCCGACGGGCATCGAGACACAGCCCCGCGCCGCTGTGGAGACAAAGAGCACGCTGGTCAAGGGGGGACAGTGAAAATCAGACAGCAGGGAGGACGACGGAATCCGAGGCGGAATCCAAGACATCAGACGAGGACGACAGACTCGGGTGGAGGAGAGGAAGGAGAAGAGGGCAGCATCGGCAACAGAGACGCCTGGGCCCACCGCTTGCGGGTCCAGCGCCTGAGGCGGTCAGCCCTGGGGGGCGGGGGCAGGCAGGGGCTGCGCTGCCCTTGGGGTCGCGGGACCGGACGGGCCTTGGCCCAAACCGTGCTGACGCACAGGAAGCGGGCACTCCCCTGGGAAATAGGTCCGGAAGTGGAAACTCTGCCCGAGGAGCCCCAGGGAGACCTGGGTTTCACAGGTACGTTCCCGGCCCCCAGCCCGGCTCAGAGCCCTGCGTCGCCCAGCGGCAAGGGAACAGACAGGCGGCTCTTCCCGGCTGCTTCAGCTCGACCCAACAGGAAATGCAGTCTCCCCTGCAGCAGGCAGGCATGTCTAGGCGGGAAGGCCTCACAGCTCCGTGGCCCAGCTGCCTGAGTCTCCCTCAAAGCCACAGGGCACGGAATCGGGAAATCAAGAAGCTTCTGGTTTTTGCAGAAGCACTGGATTTCTCCAGCTAACAACCAGAGCCAGCTGTTGACAGGCCTACATGAGTCGGGGGAGGCCGCGCAGCTTGGACCCGCAGGGGCTTGTCCAGACAGAAGGCTGCCTCGTGCCCTGGGAAGCCCCGTGAGCCTCTCCGGCTCACAGACAGGCCTCCCCTGCAGGCCCGTGGCCTTCCTGGAGCTCACCAGCCCTGGGGTCATGGGGTCGGTGGGGGGTGGGGGTAGGGAGGCCAGGCTGGCCCGAGAGGATGGCCCCCCACCCCCACAGTCACGCATGGCTCCTGCAGCCTGCGCCCCCCAGGGACCAGGGCCGCCTCACTCCTCAGTGCCTCAAGGGAGCTCAGTGCAGGGAGGAGCAGCCAAGGGCCAGTACTGGTGCCAGCTGGGGGCTCACGCAGAGCTGCCGTCCTGCAGGGCCCCCGTGGGACCCGCTGTGCGGGGCCCAGTGGCCGTGGAAGATCCTGACTGTCTGCCGGCCAGACCACACACACGGCTGTCCTCCAGGCCTTCCGGCAGAGGAGGCAGACCGCAAAGCCCAGCAGGCGCCCCCGCTGCCCGCAGGCTGGTGGTGGCACTGCCCTCTCCTCCTGCTCCGTGCATCCAGCAGGCCTTGTCTCCCAGCCACAAGCCCACATGACCCCCAGAACATTCACCGAGGCAGCTCACCTGTCGCAGCTCCCGAGTGGACCACAGCGTCTGCAGGGTCTGCAGGAACAGGCGCAGGTCCCGGCCTGGGGGGACAGGGCAGGGCTGTGGAGAGGCTGCGTGCGGCAGGGAGCGCCTTCCTAGGCCTGGCCTGCTGCTCAGGCAGTGAGGCTTCCCGCAGTGCCTGCTGGGGGGCTTCCAGCTCAGCTCAGGGAGCCCAGACTCGCATTCCCGCCGCAGTGGGCCCCTGGTCCGTGTGAGCGGGGAGGCCTGCGGTACTGACCCGGCCCGGAGGCACCCCCCGATCCACGGCCCACTGTCCGGCCTCTGGCCCCTGCTGAGGCCCAACGTGGTCCTGGCCTCTGCCTCCCTGTCCTCCCTCTGCCCTGTCCTGCTCCTGGCGAGTCCCACCCAGGCCCAAGTCCCTAAGCTTCTCCGCTCCCTGCTGCAGAGCAGGGCGTGCAGTCCCGGAGTGGGCGCCTGCTCAGCCCAGTGCTGCCCAGGGCGGCAGGGGTCCAGGTCACCCTCAAGCTGGGAGAGTCGGTGCCGTCAGGCCAGGTCCCAGGTTAGGGCCAAGGAGGGCCGGCTGAAAAGACACGGCTGCCTGCTCTGGGCTTGGGAAAGGAAGCCACTTCTGAGGCCGGGGCCTGGGGACCAGCTCTGAGCTGCCCGTGGCCACCAGCGCCCCCTGGCTGCCTGCCTGCTGGGCCTCACCCTCTGTGCCCTGAAGTCAGGGTTCCAGCTCCCCACGCCCTCTCCCTCACCGCAGCCCACCAGCTTCCGCAGCACCTCCCCCCCAACCCACCCCACCTCCATCCCCCTGCCCCTGCCTAGCCTGCAGGCCTAGCCCATCTTGCCTTGCAAGTTCTGCTACAGGGGTCTGGGGACCATCACCTGTCCAGCCCCCAAGAGAAGCTGCAGACGAACCTGGTTCTTTTGCTTCAGGAGACGTGGCCCAGGGCCCGGGGAGGGTGGGCGTGAGACCCGCCAACAAGGACGGGGCTGTGGGGGGCCCCCGCCCCATTCCAGGTGGGAGGAGCACCCGGCCCTCAGCTAGGACCTTGGGGTCAGACTCAGGACCGCGGTCCACACGCAGGGGAGCAGGAGCCCAGGTGGCCACACCTGCGAGGCCACTCGAGAGTCAAGGGGCAAAGGGCAGCAGCCGCTCCGCAGGGAGCCGGATGGACGGACTGAAAGATGGGAGACCCGAGCCACAGGCTCCGAGGACGCGGGCTCCCAGAGAAGACGGGGACTGTGGGGAACCCCAGAGGTCACAGGAGAGTCTGCCCCAGAAAGCAAGGCCGGCTGACAACTGCAGGCGCATCTGCCCTGCTCACACTGCAATACGGGAGGAAAGTCACCTGAGCCTGTCACTGGACACACAAGTGTCTCATGTAAACGCGATAACTTGTGAAGAGTGATTCTAGTTACAACTGAAAATATAACCCAGCAAACTAGGAAGAGAAGGAACGTCCCAAACCAGAGAAAAGGTGTCTATAAAAACCCTCCGCAAATGGAGGCCTCAGTGATGAAAGCTTCCCCTGAAGCGGAAACACAAGGAGGAGCCCGCCGTCCACTTGACGAGGCCCTGGGGTAGTGCCAGTGCAGAGCAGACAGGAGGAAACGTAAAGGCCACAGAACTTAGCACAAAAAAACTAAAACATCGGCACTCAGAAAATACACTCTGCTCCCCTCAGAAAATGAAATATACAGCACAAAAGACAAGAGCTCTCAAACTACCAGAAAACAGAGGAAACTTGAAGCAAACTATTGACAGACCTCTGTACACAGTACGATTCTAACTCTACGAGGTGTTCTATCTGACGGGGGACTGTGTGACGGGGGAATGCGTGTGATGATAGACTGTGTGTGATCGGCTGTGTCTGACGGGACTGTGAGTGATGGGGGACTGTGTGTGATGATGGACAGTGTATGACGGGAGACTGTGTGTGATGATAGACTGTGTGTGATGGGGGGACTGTGTGTGACGGGGGGACTGTGTGTGATGGGGGGACTGTGTGTGAAGATAGACTGTGTGTGATGATAGACTGTGTGTGATGGGGGGAATGTGTGTGATGGGAGGACTGTGTGTGAAGATAGACTGTGTGTGATGATAGACTGTGTGTGACGGGGGACTGTGTGTGACGGGGGACTGTGTGTGATGATAGACTGTGTGTGACGGGGGGACTCTGTGTGATGATAGACTGTGTGTGACGGGGGGACTGTGTGTGACACGGGGAATGTGTGTGACGGGGGACTGTGTGTGATGGGGGGACTGTGTGTGATGATAGACTGTGTGTGACGGGGGACTGTGTGTGACGGGGGGACTGTGTGTGACGGGGGGACTGTGTGTGACGGGGGACTGTGTGTGACGGGGGACTGTCTGTGACAGGGGGACTGTGTGTGACGGGGGACTGTGTGTGACGGGGGGACTGTGTGTGATGGGGGACTGTGTGTGACGGGGGGACTGTGTGTGATGATAGAATGTGTGTGACGGGGGGACTGTGTGTGACGGGGGACTGTGTGTGACGGGGGGACTGTGTGTGACGGGGGACTGTGTGGGACGTGGGGACTGTGTGTGACGGGGGACTGTGTGTGACGGGGGGACTGTGTGTGATGGTGGACTGTGTGTGACGGGAGGACTCTGTGTGACGGGGGGACTGTGTGTGATGATAGACTGTGTGTGACGGGGGGACTCTGTGTGATGATAGACTGTGTGTGACGGGGGGACTGTGTGTGACGGGGGGACTGTGTGTGACGGGGGACTGTGTGTGATGGGAGGACTCTGTGTGACGGGGGACTGTGTGTGACAGGGGGACTGTGTGTGACGGGGGACTGTGTGTGACGGGGGGACTGTGTGTGACGGGGGACTGTGGTGATGGGGGGACTGTGTGTGATGGGGGACTGTGTATGACGGGGGACTGTGTGTGACGGGGGGACTGTGTGTGACGGGGGACTGTGTGTGACGGGGGACTGTGTGTGACGGGGGGACTGTGTGTGATGGGGGACTGTGTGTGACGGGGGACTGTGTGTGATGGGGGGACTGTGTGTGACGGGGGACTGTTTGTGATGGGGGGACTGTGTGTGACGGGGGACTGTGGTGATGGGGGGACTGTGTGTGATGATAGACTGTGTGTGATGGGGGGACTGTGTGTGATGGGGGACTGTGTATGACGGGGGACTGTGTGTGACGGGGGGACTGTGTGTGACGGGGGACTGTGTGTGACGGGGGACTGTGTGTGACGGGGGGACTGTGTGTGATGGGGGACTGTGTGTGACGGGGGACTGTGTGTGATGGGGGGACTGTGTGTGACGGGGGACTGTTTGTGATGGGGGGACTGTGTGTGACTGGGGACTGTGGTGATGGGGGGACTGTGTGTGATGATAGACTGTGATGATAGACTGTCTGTGACGGGGGGACTGTGTGCGATGATAGACTGTGTGTGATGGGGGGACTGTGTGTGATCGGGGACTGTGTGTGATGGGGGGACTGTGTGTGACGGGGGACTGTTTGTGACGGGCGGACTGTGTATGACGGGGGGACTGTGTGTGATGATAGACTGTGTGTGACGGGGGACTGTGTGTGATGGGGGGACTGTGTGTCACGGGGGACTGTGTGTGACGGGGGTACTGTGTGTGACGGGGGGACTGTGTGTGACGGGGGACTGTGTGTGACGGGGGGACTGTGTGTGACGGGGGACTGTGTGTGACGGGGGACTGTGTGTGATGGGGGGACTGTGTGTGATGATAGACTGTTTGTGATGATAGACTGTCTGTGACGGGGGGACTGTGTGTGACGGGGGACTGTGTGTGACGGGGGGACTGTGTGTGACGGGGGGACTGTGTGTGACGGGGGACTGTGTGTGACGGGGGGACTGTGTGTGACGGGGGACTGTGTGTGACGGGGGACTGTGTGACGGGGGACTGTGTGTGACGGGGGGACTGGGTGTGACGGGGGGACTGGGTGTGACGGGGGACTGTGTGTGACGGGGGGACTGTGTGTGACGGGGGACTGTGTGTGATGGGGGGACTGTGTGTGATGGGGGGACTGTGTGTGACGAGGGACTGTGTGTGACGGGGTGACTGTGTGTGATGATAGACTGTGTGTGACGGGGGACTGTGTGTGACGGGGGGACTCTGTGTGACGGGGGACTGTGTGTGACGGGGGACTGTGTGTGATGGGGGACTGTGTGTGACGGGGGACTGTGTGTGATGGGGGGACTGTGTGTGATGGGGGGACTGGGTGTGACGGGGGGACTGTGTGTGATGGGGGACTGTGTGTGACGGGGGACTGTGTGTGATGGGGGGACTGTGTGTGATGGGGGGACTGTGTGTGACGGGGGACTGTGTGTGACGGGGGGACAGTGTGTGACGGGGGGACTGTGTGTGATGATAGACTGTGTGTGACGGGGGGACTGTGTGTGACGGGGGACTGTGTGGGACGTGGGGACTGTGTGTGACGGGGGACTGTGTGTGACGGGGGGACTGTGTGTGATGGTGGACTGTGTGTGATGGGAGGACTCTGTGTGACGGGGGGACTGTGTGACGGGGGACTGTGTGTGACGGGGGACTGTGTGTGATGGAGGGAATGTGTGTGAAGATAGACTGTGTGTGATGATAGACTGTGTGTGACGGGGGACTGTGTGTGACGGGGGACTGTGTGACAGGGGGACTGTGTGACGGGGGACTGTGTGTGACGCGGGACTGTGTGTGATGGGGGGAATGTGTGTGAAGATAGACTGTGTGTGATGATAGACTGTGTGTGACGGGGGACTGTGTGTGACGGGGGGACTGTGTGTGATGGGGTACTGTGTGTGACGGGGGGACTGTGTGTGACGGGGGACTGTGTGTGACGGGGGTACTGTGTGTGATGGGGGGACTGTGTGTGACGGGGGTACTGTGTGTGATGGGGGGACTGTGTGTGACGGGGGACTGTGTGTGACGGGGGGACTGTGTGTGACGGGGGACTGTGTTTGATGGGGGGACTGTGTGTGAAGATAGACTGTGTGTGATGATAGACTGTGTGCGACAGGGGAACTCTGTGTGATGATAGACTGTGTGTGACGGGGGACTGTGTGTGACGGGG